GATACATTGGCATTGTGTGATGTTGCAGTCACACCCGCTTGTATTTCAGGTATGTCCACCGACTCAAGCCGCATCAACAGAAGCTGCGTCTGTCGTTACGACGATCTAACCAGGTAGCAGCTATGTATAACATAACCAAAGGCACAAAGGCCACCAAGGGCAATGAATTGGGCATTTTTGAGGATCTAGGGGATGTCTATAGCCAAGAGGATCTCGACCTGTTCTTTTCAACTTTTGCACAGTATGTTTATCCCTGCTGTGTCCTTTCGTCGCTGACGCGCCTAGGCAAATTCCCCAGGGCACCCACCCCATCCTGAAGGCCGTCGACGGCGCTCAAGCCCCAACCAGCGTGTCCAACGCAGGCCCTGAATCCGACTTGGACTTTCAAATTTCGTACCCGATCATCTGGCCGCAGAATTCCGTCCTCTTTCAGACAGATGATACATTTTACCAAGCAAACTACAACTTCAGTGGCTTTCTCAACACGTTTCTCGATGCCATTGACGGATCCTACTGCAACGAAATCTCCCCTCTAGACCCGTCGTACCCCGATCCCGCCGACGGCGGCTACAAAGGCCAGCTCCAATGCGGCGTCTACCAGCCCCCCAAGGTGCTCTCTATCTCGTACGGCGGCGCCGAGGCCGACCTCCCTATCGCCTACCAGCGCCGCCAGTGCAACGAGTGGATGAAACTCGGCCTGCAGGGCGTCTCCGTCGTCGTCGCATCCGGCGACTCCGGCGTCGAGGGCCGCGGCGGCGATCCCACACCTTCCAATTGTCTAGGCACCGAGGGTAAAGTCTTCGCCCCGGACTTCCCAGCCACCTGTCCCTACCTCACCGCCGTAGGCGGGACCTACCTCCCCCTCGGCGCCGACCCGCGCAAGGACGAAGAAGTCGCCGTGACCTCGTTCCCCTCCGGCGGCGGCTTCAGCAACATCTACCAGCGCGCAGACTACCAGAAGCAAGCCGTTGATGACTACTTCTCCCGCGCAGATCCCGGGTACCCGTTCTACGAGAGCGTGGACAACAGCAGCTTCGCGGCGAACGGCGGCATCTATAACCGGATTGGACGCGCGTATCCGGACGTCGCGGCCATCGGGGACAACGTCCTCATCTTCAACAAGGGCCTGCCTACGCGCATCGGCGGCACCTCGGCCGCTGCCCCAGTGTTTGCGGCGATTCTGACTAGGATCAACGAGGAGCGGCTTGCGGTCGGCAAGTCGACGGTGGGCTTTGTGAACCCTGTGCTGTATGCGCATCCGGAGGTGTTCAATGATATTACGCAGGGGAGCAACCCGGGCTGTGGGACGCAGGGGTTCTCGGCTGCGAAGGGATGGGATCCGGTGACGGGGTTGGGAACTCCGAATTATCCGGCTCTATTGGAATTATTCATGAGCCAGCCGTAGCTCTCTCCGCTGGAGGTAATGCGATCTGAATGGGATATAGCGTACCCTGGCCTCTAGGGTATGAGACAGAGACAGACTATCAATTGAATGTGACCGGTACTGAACGATTTTCAGACCGTAATCTCTTAAGGTTCAGATATAGAGTTGTTCACAGCGCCAAGTCAGTAGGATGGGCACTATGTGGAAAGAATACAGCGAGGCCAAATTCAGCAAGTTCATTTCACGGATTGATGCGCGCGGTTGTGGCCAGCCACGAGCAAGGGAATTTCAGCAAACATTGTTCGTTACAGGATAGTCATCTCATGGGATATCATTTTTATGTACCGCTCTATATCCTCCCCAAACCATATATACATCAATCATCAGGCATGACTTTTACATAATAACCTTGTGGGTGGCGGGCTTCTCATCCTCCTCGCCGAAGATGTTGATGTTCCAACGAGGCTTGTTGGCAGTGTAGGGGATGTTGAAGCGGCGGGGCTCCTTGCCCAGCGCAGACACCCTCTCGACCTCCTCGGGCGTAAGCTCGATCTCCTGGAAGTTCGCGGCAATTCGTGAAGGCGTGACGCTCTTGGGGATCACACTGTGGCCACCGACCTGGGACCAGGCGAGGATGACCTGAGCGGGGGAGACTTCCTGGCCGAGTCTCTTGGAGACGTCGGCGGCAACCGCCTTGACCTCGTCGCTGGCGATCAGGAGAGGGAGACCGAGCATGTTGTTACCAAAGGCCTATAGAAATCAGCAAGCTGTTGAAGTAGCAGGTAAAGGTGGCATACCGAGTAGGCAGTGACATGGATGCCCTTCTCCTTGCAGTAGGCAATCAGCTCGTTGCTCTGCAGACGAGGGTGACGCTCGATCTGGTTGGCAGCGGGAACAACACCAGTGGCCTTGATGATGGCCTCGAGCTGTAGAATGTGAGTTATCTGTCTCTCAATGCTGGTGCGGGTCGCTTACATTCTCAACTGTGTGGTTAGAAACACCAACGGCGCGGGCCTTGCTCTTGGGGAGCTTGGTCATGGCCTTCCAAGTATCAACAATGGAAATGCTATCATCGATTTCGACATCGCCCCCGGGGACAGTGCTGTCCTTGACGAGAGGGAAGTACTCGTCGCCGGTCTTGAAGGCAACGGGCCAGTGAACGAGGTAAAGGTCAAGGTAGTCGAGTTCGAGTTCGGCAAGGCAGTCATCGAGAGCCTTCTCGACAACGTCGGGGTGATGCTGGCTGTTCCACAGCTTGGATGTCTGCAATTGTTAGAATGGTGTTCAAGGCGATTGTGGTGATTGAGCCGAACGTACGATGAAGAGGTCCTCACGCTTGAGGCCGGGGATGTCCTGGAAGGCTCTCTTGATACCCTGAGCGACTTCGCGCTGGTTTTGGTAGCTTCAGGCCGTCAGTGTACATTATAGACGGATTCTGGATTATTGTAGAACCTACATAGTCGCGAGATCCTGTATGAAATTAGTGGATTATACTTCGGATGGTGTACTATAGGAGTTAATGTACGTACCAGGTGACGGTAACCAGCCTTCAGGGCGTGGTAGACGGCCTCACCGACCTGACCGGGGGCAGATTGCCAGGTACCGAAACCCAGCTGGCTGTTGGTTCAGGGTCAGTTATTGACTTTGGCAGTTCCAACGACGAGACGGAGGCCAAACATACGGGATCTGAGCACCGGTGTTGAGGGTGACCTTCTTTCCGAGAGACATTGTGATGGGAGTGTGGGTTAAACGAGTAGTAATGTGAAGTAAGGGTATCAAGGAGACGCAACTACAGAAGAAGAGACGAACGGATGGAATCAGAGAGGAAGAAGAGGATAGAAATAAGGCACAGCTCTGGGACCGGAGTTGCTCCGGTGGGGGTATGGGAACCTTTGACGACAGCTGGCGTGCGACAAGACGTGAAAGTGTGGCCTTTGCCGCATCCTGGACTCCTAATTCGAAACCATTGCCAATGAAATCAGCAAGAAGAATCCTATCATCGTCCTCAGAATGGCAACCCCAACCCCCACCATGCCCCACTGAGGGGTTCTACAGCTTTCCAGCGTGGGATGTCGTGTTTCGATGACATATGAACTCTAGGTGGCCATAAGACTAAGATGCGTCTCATCAGTGGCAGCTCTCAGATTACCCATGGAGACACACCCAGTTCGTTACTCTAGTCGTCTTCTCGCCAACTTCTTTTCGTCGACAATAATCATTCTTTAGTAGAAATCAGGGGCATCATTGGAGGGGAAAATGGGGATGATGTCATCACGGCAGCCCGAAATTAACCGTGCATTCCACGTGACCTGCCCGCAGGATAATTTCCCATTCCACTCTCTTTGGTCCACTTGCCCTCCTATGGACGGTCCAATCAGTGCCTCGGCTTTCCCTGAGTCTTGGGTATTCTCGGCCTTCAGCTCAAATCGGTTAATTCCAGTCAAATCGTAGATGGAAAAACTCGTTCCCAGCGGACATTATTCATCACTGTCCAAGAAACGAGGCTTCTACTCCGTATATTCAAATGCCCTCAGTTGACGGTCACACAGAGCTTTGCGAGATATGGTTGTTAGAACAGTTCCCCAGCTGACGCGGACGAGGGACGGATGCCAGAGAGGTCACAAACTACAAATAACTGGATTGATCCACAAATCCTCAAAGTGATCACCTTTCACAACATAGCTGATTATCGTTGGATATCTTCCAGCCAAATCATCACTTCCGTGCGCTGTCGGCCTGTAATTGGCAGCCTAGCTAGGAGTGTCCTCGGGCCCGCTCCGAATGGGCGTGAGTTCCCGATGCCATTTGGCGGACGCCGACGAGATACTCCGACTCGGCGATTCGTTTGGAATCATTTAAAACAGAAAATCTGTGCATCTCAACACGTCTGTTAGGCTACCTGTCATAAGATACAGCTGGCTCATTGAACCGAAATCAGTAATTGGATGGCAGCATTGTTTCAAACTCTCAAGCGTACGGTTGCGCAGGTATGTTGTTCAGGTCAACGCATATGAACATGTCACCTGGAAGAGAAAAGACAAATAGCTTTTTCTGGCGGAGAAATATGACATGTTGACCTCACTCGGGGCCCTATTATCACATATTTCCACTGGAGTAATGCATACACCTAGAGTGGATCACAAACTATCCACACTCATCATCCTATATGATCTGAATGCTGCTTATTTCTAGCACATACAACCATAGGGTGTGGAAAACAAGGCTTCCTGTCGGCTTGGCTGTGCTTAGCTAGTAATATTAGCGCGGCTAGAAGCTATACACACCCTATACGGCCTACTACATTGTAGAAAAGAGATGCTACACCATAGGACCAGTATGGGTGAAAAAAGTAAGCTAAGATTGGTTTTATTGGGTTTCAAGTTCATATTCAACTGTGACATTACACGCGATGAGGTATCTTCGGATATGATCTTCAACTCGACTGCTTTACACCATCTTGAACCACTCGGTTATGAAGATATCAGTGTAGAAAGGATACCTAACTGCTATAAAAAAAAATCAGACTACTCAGGATGTTGAATCCCTTCATGCCTTATGGGATGAACCATAGTTGTCACTCAACGAAAAAGCCATAGAAAAATCTCATCCAGATTCTTCAAATCTGCAAGAGCATCTGGCTGAGAACCCCGGCCGCCTCATCATAGAATACACTCTGATTCTTCACTGAAGTCCAGCCGTTCACATCAATCACAAAGCTCTTCCGGCCCATACGAACAATATCAAACCCACAGACTGCCTGTCCAAAACCAGTCGATATCTTAGCCGCCATCTCCCTCTCCTCACCAGTAAGCTCCGTAGGATCCCTCCGTTCCCGACCGTTGGCGTCTCGGACAACGACCCCGACAACAGCCGGCGAAGGGCGCGTAACGGCAAAAGAAAAATAAGGCCGAGGATAAAAGCCTACGGTGTAAGCTTTGACATCCTGGCCACCCTCGGCGGTCAATAGCGGTTCGTAGACGTAACTGGTGCCTCCCTCGGTGATACACCTAGGCACAGTCAGGCGCGGGTCGTACTCCGAAGCCTTGTTCCCGATCCTCCGAAATAGCCTCCGTCCACCACCGCCTGGGTAGTAGATATTGATATTGTGGTCCTCAGCATCAACAGGCTTCTCGACAAAGGGCTTGCGGAGCTCTCTCCCATCGACAACCAGCGTATTGCAATCCTCAGACAAGGACACCACAGGCTTAGTCAAGACCTCTTGACCATCAATCCGTAGCCCCAGCCCAGTCAACCTATCCAACTGTCCAAGCTTCGGTCCCCCGTCTCGGCTGACCTCGAGTCTCTTGGGCGTGCGCACCCCAAGATGAACCAGGACCCTGTGGCACAGCCGCCGATCCAGCAGGAGGCGCTGCATATGCAGATCGTTGAGCGAGACGCAGGGCCGGAGCTGGGTGTACGCGATTGCCTTGGCCAGCGGGAAGCCGTGGGAATAGAAGGCGATGAGGACATCGCAGTGTGGCCATGCCTCCACGGGCTTGTCCTGCAGGACCTGGTCTCCAAATATGACTATGTCGATACCGACTGTAGACTCTAAGCGGGAGAATATCTCTTGGTTGGCTTTGCTGCGGGCCTTTTCTTCCATTGCGCAGATGCCTAGCCTCAGTTTTCGACTGAGGGGTTTGTCGGGGCCGTACGTGCGGCGGCTTGGTTTGTCCATGCTTATGCGGTCACAGACATGGTTAACGGCTGCAGGGGGTTCCCTGCTGCTTTCTCGTGCAGAAACCATGATGGACTGCATGTTGGTGCTTCTGCTCAATTCCTGTTTCGTAGTTGATGTTCCCTGAACCAGGTCAGGGTCTCGCTGACGGGTACGTTGGGATAGGCTGATGCCATCGACAAGGCAGAATTGTTGTTTGTGCTTGGATATAGCATCAGATGGGGAGATAGTATCGATCTGAGGTTGTAATTTTTCTAAGTCGAGACAGAGATATCCTGGACAATTTAAGTTGCGCGAACTTTCACATGGAAAAGGCTTGCGGAAAATCCCTCAGGGTCCCAGGGGAGTGCAAACTCTATCTAGCTTACATACTATAAATAATCCTTACCCACCCTAGGCAACAGGCAATAACAGTAGCAAATAAAACCTTACTAGGGTCTTCAGACTGGGGAGATCGGAATCTATCCAATCGTATAGCTACTTGCGATCCAAATCAGGGCCAGGTCACCTACTTTTCCACCGGCCAAGTCCTATATGAGTCAGATTTGTCCAATAAAAAGAAGCATCACAGAAATATCTGAAACAAGGTAGCAGTAAAATTTATATTAATATACCCTAAACTAGTAAGTAAGCCATCATGCCCTGGTTAGGGAAGTGCAGTGACTCTGCAACCGGCCTTATAAGCGAGGTCGAATTCAACCCGCTCAGCATTAACAGCACTCGGTGTTCACGGCTGAGCCTCGATGTAGCTAAGTTACAGCTCATTTCGACAGCATCCGATAATCGGGCCCTCATTAACAAGCGTTGGAGGCCTTTTTCCCGTGCCCAGGGGAGAACGCTATCAATGTATAGTCGTGCAATACCGTTCATGACTGCGATGCCCGCCGAGGCCGCAACCTTGCCTTTAAGGCGAGCAAGGTAGCGCACTGTATCTGTTTGCGTCCGTTCCGCGGCGCTTTGCGCGAGGAGGCTGAGGAGGTCAGTTGAGCAGCCTGTGCTCTGGAATTCATCCACCGAGGTTGTGATTAACGTTTCGAGGTCGGAGGGTGTGACTTTTGTAATCTGAACGTAGTTGCCAGAGTTCGCAGACTCGAGAGCAGGAATGCTGGGGACGAGGGACATGGCGTAAACGATAATCAACCCCGTTGCTCTCTGTACCCATTTGCCGTTAGGCGTGATATACAAATGGATGCGCGTGCGGACACAGATTGATTCCTATGGCTGTGGTTGTGTTTCTCTGTTAGCAGAGGTCGTGGAGGGTCTTTAGGTCTGATGGTGAGACTGGCCCGTTCGTCCCCCAGCCTACGGTGTGGTTGAGTTTGCGCCCATACTTGGGGGACGATATCATGGCCAGGCCTGAGGAGAGAGGATGGGAGGTGAATTTTTCTCTGCCGTGTAGGGTCTGAAGGGATAACTTCATTTGCAGTGCAGCGATGGTAGCTTTACTGGCCAATGTCATCCTTGAATCTAACATCTTGACCCAACTCTTAGAGCGCCGGTTGAGTCGAATCATACATCATAAGTATAGACTTATAGAGTCCATAGCTGTAAGTCCATAGCTGTATGGAGTGCAAGGGTTCCTCCCATTGACATCTTAAATACTGAAAAAGTACTATAACAGTAATGAATAGTACGACAGCCGGTGCTGAAAAGGTGCGGATTGATCCGGTAGCAAAGTGGCTCGTCGTCACGTTCGAGAGGTCCTGGAACATGAGCAGATAGCTTGCAAGGACTAGGAAGCCAGTAATAAGGGTGACGCTCTCCATGAGGTTCCTGAACCAGTTGCTTGCTCCATTCCTGTCAAGTCTGCAAGAGCACACAGGAATGTCACAGGACTGTGGAGAATTCCTATCATCTTGGGCTTTCGCCGGGAGCTTTGTCGGACTTGACTTGGTTGATTTGTTGCCTTGTATAGCAATCCTATCCTGATCATGCGAATTGGGTGCACGTTGGGTCGGGTTGGACGTATTGGGCTTCGTAGATATGTCATTTCTCTCTGCATCATTCTCGGAACGATGGGTATCTTGATTTAGATGCTTAAGTTAAGTCCCAGTCACTCAGTAAGATCATCTTGACTCCCAATTAGATATACATGGCTCGAGTGTCACACTAAAATCTGAGCTCCAGAGACACGGTTTTCTCGGCCAAATCGAGTGCTCACATACTGCTTCTCCCCTTGCGGCGCATTTTGAGCTCCATATCGAACAAGGCCCCATTCTTCTGCCGGTATCTACCTTTAGAATCTTCGAACTGGCCCCTAAAACTTCAGCGCTGGTCATGTCTGTGAGCCTAACATGGATATCTCTTGGTGGTAACTTCTCCGTATCATCAATTGGTGACATGAATGACCCCATGATATCTTGGGTTGCTCAGATACCATGGCTGATCTCGCCGCACTTGATTCATGAGGTGAGCCCATGGTAACTATAAGTTGTCCATAGAAATCGAGAAGAAACCGAATTTCTTAGTCTTTTCTTCAAGGGAATTCCGCTGGCCAAAGTGCAGATGTATAGATGTATACATCTAAACTTCAGGGTAAATTTACTTATTGCACCCTGTCATAACCTCATCATTGTTCTAAATTGGTGGGGTGATTAAAATCAAAGATGCAATGGGACGAGACCCACATGCAAGCAACGAAATCTAGCATCATTCCTGCTCTTGCATAACTGAAGGTTAAAGAAAGTCACCCGATCAAAAATTTTGATGGGTCCAGATCCCGCCTCGCCCAGTTCAGTGGCTGTCCAAGTGACAGTTACTACTGCAAACGGAAATTCACAGCAGGAAAAGTATCTATGCAGGCCTCAAATGACCAGTGAGCTGATTCAGTCGCGCCACTAAGAAGAGCCACTGTTAATTGTCTTCTACATGTTAGTCAAAACAGCGAGGACTTATCATTCTGACCTTGAGTAATAATCTATTCTTCTAGAAACCGACACATGCAAGCATCGTTCTTGACGAGAGAAGACCTCTACCACTGATTCCTGACCCCGGCCGCATAAAACCTTGCAAGCTGCCCATTATTTTCTGTACAAGGATTCTATTGCTATTTCAAGGTCGCGTTGCATAGAAAGTCACCGTATATTTGACCAAAAACAAGAACATCAAGGGTTGCATTATGGATATGGATGTTGAGCGGATGACCTGGCCAGATGCCTTCGGTATGAACCAGTATCTCAGAAGCCACTGGTGCATGACATTTCAAACTACTGACTTTTTTAAGGGGGGACTCGAGGGTCGAGGTCGAGGTCGCGAAATCGACTACCTCAAAATGTTCCCCTGCGCGTGTTTGGAACGTATTTGACACCTACCAGCATTTCACAGATCGGTCAGTGGCTGACACCGCGAAAGAGTGTCCGCCTAATGACTGGCTATATACCACTAATTCCGGCCGAAAAACCAGGGTCTGGGTCTTCCTCTCGTCGTCAGACGACCAGAGTGACCAAAGGGGCAAAAACAAAAACGGCGCAGTCTGCTGTCGATCCACTGAATGAAATGGAAGACGACAGGGAGTCAATCGAACCTGTCACAGATGCGATGGAAAATTTGAAAGTAAAAGTTGGAGGAGATACTGATGATTTTCTTCTCCAGGCTGATGCAAAGGATTCCGAGTCATGGGTTACCCTCAGCCTTGGAGGAATACACTACTTGGATGAGACCAGAGAGAAATGTGCAGTTATCATCCAGATCCGCCACGACACAACGAACGAAAACGTCCGGTGCCGGAAGATCAGCCTTGATTTTGCAGTTACAGAACTTGATGAGGCTGGGCATCATGATACTGATCATGATGAAAATTCAGGGGTTGGGATTATGAGCATGATCCCCCGATATTCTGGTGGAACCGCGAGATATACGAAATTGAGATATTCACAGACAGTGGGCATTAAAGAGCCACAATCAGGTGTGGAAGCGGGCCTTTCAAGAGAGTCAGAAGTCGAAAGGGAAAAGAGGTTTAAAGCCAGAGCCTTTTATCGCCGTGAACCGAATAAAACCCTTCCACGGCTGGGCCATTTTATGCTTGTTGAGAACGCAGCAAGCCATGGGGGAGTTCCTCCAAGCTTTCAGGGTGTGGTATTCCTAAATTCACGAAGGCCTTTTCGTTTACTTGTCAAGCTGTGTGCTGATATGCCTGGAACTTGGTCTTACTACTTCCGCCAGAACAAAGGTGTCGTTGCAACGTTCGGAATTTGCCCTGAGGACTATTCACCTGTTCGAAAGAATATGGATTATTACAAGAACTGGACTGGTGAGATAGAGGGAGAATGCCAGATATGGGGGGGATGGTGAGCCTACATAGTTTTACGCAACCACGAGTAGGGAGTGGCATACAGAACATCCCTGTCAGAACATGCTGTCAAGGCCGGCCGTCACTGGGCAAGTCTTACGATTTTCCGGGGATCAGTAGCTGGAGCTGAAACGGCTTGCAACGGACCCAAGCGGAAAGGATTGGGTGTCCACTTTCGAAGCCTTGAGTGCCTACCTTTACCAGCAATTCTACCGCGCCTGAACTCAGCTACTTATATCTCAAGGGGTTTCCCCTGCGGAAGCAAGGGGTAAGCTCTTTCGCGGATTTTGGACCTCCGTCAACGTGCGTGACCACAGCCCGTCTCGACTTAGGCCAAAAGTACTTCCCAAACGCTATCTATCCCACTTAAGGCGTTTTCTCGCATGAGCTACTGGCGGACAGTGAACTATGGATGGTTGCCAAGGCACTGCATGACCTGATTCGCTTTGTGGACGTGCAACAAATGGAGAATACTATGCGGTGGCTTGCTGTCCAATCAGACCAGCATTGCACCCGGATTGGCTTCACATTCGCAGATGGCAACTTCACCGTCAGCCAGTGGTCTGGGTTCAAGATGTACGTGGGCGTCCATTTTGACATCGACGGAGAGGGCAATCCTGTGCATCCGGTAATTGCGTCGCCGCCGCTCACTGATATATCCCGCGTGGATGCTTTGGCGATAATATTGTCGACTGATGAAGACCTGAAATCAGAAGCACAAATTAACGGTGGTAAAACAAGGGCTGTCGATGTCAACCTTACACTTACCACACCACTGTGGTCGATTCTTGGCAAGGATGAACGATTTCGGCAGAACTACCTTTAGAGGATAAACACAGATAGCCGTGTCCGTAGAACAACAATACGATCTATCCTTTACCATCAATTATTTTTCACTTTAAGGCCTGAAATGATCATCCGACAGGTGTCCGTCGGAAACCGAATCCAGTGCTCCCATCCAGCGGGCAATACAAGTAGCGACCCGTTGAAACCCTTCCAGTGGGGGAGATGATGCAGTATTTACAGAAGCTCTGCAAGGGTAAGCTTATCTGCTACACATATGTAAGAAGCCAACGAAGTCAGCATATTGCCTGATATGAAACTCCAGACTCAACGACCGACGCGATTGCATGCTCAATATTTCCAACCCCCCAACCCATATTTCAAAGTATAACCACTGGAAGTGGAAGGTGGATGAGATTTGAAGCTTCACGATACATAGCATGAGACGAATAAAATCATCCCATATGAGCCGCCATTAAGAAAAGCACATAGCAGTGTAACGGCTCAGAGACCCGGACCAGACAGGTAATCTGAGATGTTCGAAACACAGCATGTGGCCACCTTTGGAACAAAGAGCCGAAAGATTGCTGGCGGCAAAGTAATGGAGATACTTCTGGTCCTAGATTGGTAAGGGCCGGTGGTGCATCCTGATCACCGTCTGCGTATCTTGGACTATTGGCTTGATCATCTCCACCTGAGACTCAGGGTCGGCCCATTTTTGATTCTGGGTTTTTTTACTTAGCCCGTGCCAGGCGTTCCCGCAATCTTGCCGTATCGACTTGCAGGTCGGTCCTGTAACTGCTTAACAGCCGTGGGCTCGCTCCGCCCCCCGTCCTGGCCCCTAAGCCCAGTTTTGGAGGACATAATGTCCAGGTCAGGATGAAGGTCAGTTGAGCTCTCAAGACCCCCTGGAGTATCGCGAGAGTGACTAGCGAAATCCCGCGCGACGTTCGCGTGAAGCTCCCTACATGCTTCAGTGGAACAATCAGCGTAGTCCGGATTTGGAAACTGCTCATTTTCAAACGGACCATCACTAAGAAACTAATGAATACTCTGAAATCTTTTGTATAACTCACCTCAACCTTCATACGATGGAAATCTCTAAATTTTTGTCACTCTTGAAATCAACGTTTTTCCCCCTTTCAAAAACCCCAATTCTCTTGAAGAAGGAAGTATTCCTTTTCTCATCTTCTTCCTTGATGAGGATTAGACCTTTCACTCCATCGTTCCTTTCGCCTTCCATAGCAATGGCCACACATAAGACTAAGCAACACTCGCGGTATGCTGTCTCGTCACATGTACCGCACATATTGCGGTAATTCGTGCCGTGCATAACCTCCGGCTCCTCGGTCATATTCACATCTGGGTGTCTCTGTCTGAAGTCATCCACATGGATTTGTAAGGCTTCCCCAAGAGTGATTGATTCATTTATGAGGTCCGCGACCTCGGTTTCACAGGTATGTTCAGAGAGCACCAAAACATTAGACGTAGAAGGTTTGAACCAGGCCTTTCGAGTGGGGGCTCTCAGCCTCAGCTGTGCCGACATTATTTCCCCATATGGATTCAGTCTTGGAAACGCTGGCATTGTTGAGCACTCCAGGATATCACATACAATTTCAGGGATGGTCTCATCTTCATCATAGAAGAAATCAAAATGTATGATACCCCCGTTGAGACTTGCCCATGACCAAGAAGGAGCCTGATACCTCCCTGGCCTTTCAAATGTGAAGTTTTCATCATCAGCTAGTGACCTGTGCCACGTTGATGTTTGCCATGTGAGTTGCCTCGCAAGATTGTATTGCCACAATCCAGCAAAGTAGCCAGGCCCAAGCGCGTGGGAAAATGAAGGATGAGAGGCGATGCCAGCTAGAGCATTTAATTTGTCTCGCTCAAGACTAGTAACTCTGATTGAATACGCTGTAACGAGGCGCAGCCAGCAACTCAAAGCCTTGTGTTTGTGGGCACAAGCCTCTTCTCGGCTAAGGAGCAAAGTGTGCAGATTAAGGCTATACGTTTCATCGTGGTCATTATATCCCGAGTCAAGGTCATGCGGAAAATATAAGGAGTCACCAAAATTTTTTATGCTTTCGCAACATCTCCACATCATAGTGCGTGTTGTAAAAGTGAGCACAAAATTGCTCAAAAGTTGTTCTTGCATAGTCCAGCCTCTTTTTGAAATGGGTTCACAACGCTCGTCATAACATACGGCGTCTAGTTCATTGACAGACATTGTGCCAAAGACGTCAGGTTGAAGCCGGACGGGGATAGTGTGAAGAATCTCCTGGTACACACGTGGATAGAGAAATCCTTTAGAGACACTTTCTGCCGCAGCAGCGACTATCGTCAGAGCCGAGGAGGCATATATTTCTTTCATTCGTGCGATTTCTTTCGCTTTGTCCATTTCTGAATCTTGGATTATGCAGAGAGCGTCAATCCACAAGTACGGGATGGACGAGGCGCGAGTAGTTGCAAACGCATCACGGATGGTGGGAGGTAAAGTCTCCTCATCCAATCCTTCGGTGAGTTGTGCATAATTGGAACTGGTGAGTGTTGGAAGATCAGCGTTCCCCCAACAGTAGGAAAGTGTAGCATAGAGTCCACGCAGGTTTTTAGTCTCCACGACTCGCGCATATCGTCTTCCTAGAGGACTAACTTCAATAACTCTTGTAGGAAGGATACTGTCCTCGTGTAAAGCGCTGCAGCGCTTATGCTCCTTGCACTCTCTCAGCCATGCTCCGATTTGCATTTTTGCTGCCTCACTATTGGTGTCTGTCCTCAGCGGCCTCGCAGTCACATAGCCTGAAGCGGGATCCCCTGCTGTGGTAAGGGCGTGAAGAAAAAGGGCGGCGCCTCCTCTCCATTTTCCCATTCCAGAATGGCATGAAATGCTCAGATAGAAAGTATTGTTGCCGGCTGGCGTGCACGAAGGGATTGTGCTTGGTGCAAGATATGTGGTTATCTTATCGTCTGGCGCCCAATCATCAGAAATAAAATTTTTGATATAACCACACCAGTTGCAGGCAGCATTTTTGATTTCACGGACAGTGGCGGTAGTTTCAGTCCCCGTTTGCTTGTAGTTCGCAGTATTTTGATGCCAAGTACAGCACCGCTCAAAAGCCTCAGTGTTGAAAAGAGTTTCCCAGCATCTGTCGCATACGTAGGCTTTTGGAGGACGAGACGAAGGGGCGCTGTCGGCGACAAACCTGCTAGGGGTGGGCTTGAGCATTTTGAAGCGAAGAGATAGGTTAGGTCCACCTCTTTCACACAGTGAGTATACATAAAATGGCAGCATCTTTTGGAAAGAGAAAATAGTTATGTACGTCCCTAAAGCTGTGTTAGGTGGGGCACAGACGAGGCTGGCGCGGGCTGCGCATAACCCAACCGAAACATGTGTCAACCCCAAATAGACAGGCTTGTCTCCACTCTCCCGTGGCATCTACCAAGATCTCCAATTTCCAGCGGGGTAGATAGTATTAGCCTCGACCAAGTGACATCCTTTCCGCAGCCGCTAAAATTTAAGCCAATGAGAGAAATTATGGCTATGTTTATTATCATTGATATCAGTGGTGCCTCGCAAGTGCACTAACGGAAGCTCCCCAGATGTGGCCCAATGACATTCCTAAGTAAGGCTGTGGCGCTAGTTAATGAAATTGGCGCCTAGATATTACAGCAGTGAGGGAGACTCTACCGTAAGGATGTGTGGAGACCTCTTCTTGACGCCTTGAGCGAGAATAATTGGATACTGCGAACCCTCGCGGTATTCAGAGCATAGCTGTGGCCGAAATAAGGCTGCAGACGAAGAGAGGGCCATGGAGTTCCGCTCCTGCCTTGGAGATCACCCCCAGATGGAACCCGACTAGTGTGTCATGATTGCGAACGCTGATCACCCTCGATGACCAGCGCTCACCCCTAGATAAGCTCACCTATGGCATGACTGGACCATTACGAACTTGAAGCTTTAAATGTTGTCTCGTTGAAAAATCTAACGTTGAGATGGCTCCTTATGTTGAGGTGGCGGGGTCGCCCATGCGGGCGACCCTGCAAGCTAGGTGGAAGGGTCGGTTATCGTCCATGCCTAAGTCTTAGGTAGATATCTTAGCTCGAAGGTGTCTCCACCACGCTAATGAGTTGATCAGTCTGTCAGATAATTTATGAATTATTCATATTGTTTTCAGTCCTAAATTCAGTAACTCAGTCCCACTCATACCTACCAAAGCGGTGGAGGGGTTATATGGTCTGACTCCAGACTTTTTACTTATGATTATTAGTGTAATAATCTTTGCTGTTTTTCTTTTTTATCGATGATCGGCGTTTAGACCTTCTAGCGCCCTTGGGATCTTAAATGAGCTCTGCTAACTTTTGACTTAAACCCAAGTGAATCACGTTGGGGCATCACAAACGGCGCCACACTCTCCAGCTTCTCGCATGTTTCGGCAAACTCACGCTCTGGCTTTGAGTAGCTCGTGACTCCAGCCCCGGCTTGTAGCCACTGCCGATCCGCATCCTGGAACACTGTGCGAAGAACCAGGGTTGCATCGAAGAGATTTGAGCACTCATCCAGCATGAGCACCGCACCACAATAGAGATCCCTCGGCTCGGGCTCAAAGCACCGAATTGCCTCCAGGTTCCCCTGTCCCGGCATCCCAGGGACAGTAATATTAGCTATAAGACCCGGTAGAGCATCCCAGCCGTCGCAATCTGATCTCAGGCGTCCACACACATGAGAAAAGAGATGTTGCACGCTTCCCCTCGGCATGACTTTCATGAAATCTTTAATAGAGATTGTCTCAGGAAGACAAACCTGACTCAACCGACGGATGGACCCCTTGATAGCAATGACATGTTCCATAACCTCCTTGGCGTCGTTATGTAATTTGTTGTCGAATGGATCAAGGCTCGCCTCGGGTGATTCCGAAAGCTGGGTCCCGGCTAGTGCTTCAGTATAGACATTCCCGTCCTCGATGGAGAGAAGGACTTCAGGGCTAAAGCCGGTCGCCTGCATACCCATATGGTTAAGCGAAAATGTGCGTGCAGGAGTGTTCGCTCGTCGGCCGTGAAGGAGAGTCGCCAGCATATCGACCCGGAAATCCAAAGGAACTTTCCTAGACGGAATAGCCTTGGTATATCTGCCCTTAGCAATATCTGCAATTGCATTGGCTACGCGGGCTTTGTACTCGCCTGCGTTCACTGCGAGATCAATCGGGTCATGGGACTCGGATGGGAGATATATATTGTCCATGGAGATCGATTTGATTATGCCTTTGATACGCTCGCTCACTTCATAGGCATCATTTTCAGCGTGTCCTGTGACCGTAGTCTGAATACGGTCCATGATGACTTGCACGCGGGGAACCATGAGACTTAACATCGGCCACTGACTTGGGGCATAGGCCTGGCCTGAGCAGCGCGCAGAATAGTTAAAACCGACTTGCCCAAATATTTTTCCATGGCTGGAATATTTGGAGACAAACTGTCTAACTTGGTCTGTGGGCAAGTCGGTTATGGCCATCGACTCTTTCCGGCCCTCATTGTCGATTTCTGTCGCGGTTTGCCCCTTTGGATCGAGGACTAGGGATGCATGAGCACCGAGCCCGAGGTACCACGTATCACCACGTTCGTAGACGTAATAATTGTTTTTGCTGTAGTAGTCCAAGAGTGCGACTGCGGTCTCCAGTGGAAATTCGGCTCCAGGGAGGATTATTTGCTGTTTGAAACGGGTCATATTTGAGGTACTGCAGAGGGGTGGGGGAACTGAGTTCAGCTTGGAGAATGGAGGGAGCCGGAATCTGAAGTAGGGGCCGGTGGAGGTGCGTTATAGAGCTACACGGCTTAGTGCTAACAATGATCCTGAGCGGGTGAATCTTGGTGTGGTTTTTATAGCTGAAGGATCACTACATACATGTATGACGTCCTTACACATCTGCAGTTCTATGCGGCCGATATTGGCCTAGATGAAAGGTGAAAAGGAGACAAATGCTTTGAAGTCTCTTCCTTGGGCGGCATCAGAAAGACGAAGTCTCATCAATTCATCACGTAATCGATTTTGTCTAGACGGAAAAAGAGGCTGGGTAATGTAACAAATAATTAGAGATGACGGCATGATGCAACCCTGTCCAAGTGTTCTGTGACATGGGTTTTAATTCTTCTATTTGACAAGTATCAAATTTCTTTGATACAACACTGATAAATATTCATGAAAGAAGGGAATTCCCTTTTCAATGGTACAAATTTGCTTACAACATGAGAGGTATGCTAGTTCTGGCAAGTACTTTAGTACAGGAAGCGCAGCGAGACTCGAAGAGATACGGTGGTGTCACCGACAACACCTATTGGTAGAAATGTTATATTTCTGAATAGATATCCACCCCTCTAGGCAACTTCATCTTCCTCCTGACTCTTGAGAAAAAATCAAAGTCAATCTCAGCAGTTGCAATTTGAGGTTCTTTGTGCTCATCTCCAAGTTTAGCCACAACCTCGCCCCAAGGATTTACAATCATTGAATGGCCGTAACTAGTTCTTTCCTTGTTATGCGGACCAGCTTGTGCCGCTGCTATAACATAGCATTGTGTCTCAATGGCTCGAGCCCGGAGTAGCGTCTCCCAATGCGCAGGTCCCGTCTGAGCTAAAAAAGCCGAGGCATAGCTAATGATCTGAGCATCTTGTCGCCTCAACGCCAGACTAATTTCTGGAAAGCGTAGCTGCGGTCAAAACGCTAGAGTTTAGCTGCCTCCTTATATTGAAGCGTTCGTCTATTTTGAACTTACATCGAAGCAAATCAGTAAGCCGACGCGGCCAACTGGGGTCTCGAACACTGGTAATATACCCTTTCCCTTTTCAACAGTCCTAGTCGAGGAAGTTGCATTAGGAGATAAGAACAGAAATGGTCCACTAATGCCGAGAAAGTATACATACGTGCTTTCTCCTGGCGTAGTTGCATCGAATAGGTGGACTTTGTGGTATCGTTGAGTGATGACTCCCTTATCATCGATCCAGATCGAGGAGTTCTTTACCCTTTCACCCGTTGTTGGTTCGTGAATACCAACATTGATATGCAGTCCCGCTTGCTGCGCTTCTCTCTGGAGGCCCACGACGAACTCACTCTCCCCCAAGGATTGCGCCAATCCGACAGTCTGTTTTGGGGAACATGCGATGAAGTCAGACGCCTCAGGAAGAAACAGTGCCTGTTCGAGTATTAGATGACAGTAGTGAATAATGTGCGCTCTGATATATTGTACCTTAGCGCCCGCTGCAGCTGCCCTGTGCACCAGCCTTCGGCATTGGGCGAGATTTGCTGATATATCTGTGGTCGAACATATTTGCCCCACGGCCTATTGGGGAAGGGATCAGCAAAAGTCCAGAGAGTAAGAAGGCGGTTCGGCCCATACTGCAATGGCCATCACCGGTGGTTTTTTATTTTTATTTTTATTCTTATTTTTACTTTCCTTTTTCCCCCTAGGCAATCATTCAAACGAAGGGCAAATTCCGAGGACGAAAGACGGTAAACATGAGTTGTCTACCCCAGAGGCCTGGGCAACCCAGATGATTATGGACAAGTGTGCCTTCCAGTCCTTCCTTATGTATGAAAGGGCCATTCCGCATTCAGAATCTCCTAAGCAGCAATCCTATGACGCTTGGAATAATGAAGGTTTCCCGACCAGCAATGGTAGGGATTACCTGGTCAGCCATGATTCACGCTTACAAGCCAGCTGCACGTTGCTAAGCACCCCTTTGCAATTTATGTCATGTAACGTAGAGGAGCAGCAGACAAATGGATCAATCTGCTGCTTGATTACTTGCTGAAGAAAAGGTTAAATAGAAATAAACTTTGAACCATTGTAGTGGTACAAAAATTTTAGCTTTACTTTTTACTTGTAAAAGGGGAAGGACCAGACCGTCGGGACGAATCAGCGTCTCTTCACGATCAACTAGCGATTCTATACCAAGAAGAGGGGCATGGATTGATTGTGGACTGATTCATAAAATATACAAGTCAATGACGCGACCATTGCACATCACAGGTCCGGGTTTTCATAACCAGGCTCAAGGGCGAACCTGGTCCGGAACAATGGGTTCACATTACATCATTAAAAGATGATAGATTTTCCAAAAAAGAACTATTTAGAGAGGTAGATTATATTGCAACGTTCTGGATCCCCCTTTTTTCTTAAAAAAAGTATATTTTGTATAGAAATCGTTGCGTCATCCGCCACTGTTCAGCGGGAGCACCGCTGAAAATTATCTACACACTGGAGGATGATCTACGGTATGGAATGGGCATCCCCACAGTCACACTGGGCGGTCCCTACGGAACGAGAGGACTGTTTTATGTGATCCTGAGAATCCCCCAAATCAGGCATTCCGCGCAGGTTCTCCACACCTTGTTCATATCCTTCATTTGGAAAAAGATGCGCTAGAGCCACCCATAGCCCCAAAAAACCTAAAAACCTAAAAGCCGCCTAGCAGCTAAGCTTGATTCACCCACGTAAACTAGGAAACTGCTACCCTCACCGATCTTTAAAAAGGAACTGCAAGCTTTAAGGTCGGTTCGAATGGCGAGCGTTGAGCTAGATTCCCATCATCCGGTTATGTAATTTACTCAGTACTTTATGGAGAACACCACTAGTCTCGATTCGCTTGTCAGGCCGACATGCAATCAACCTACCCGTAGACATCACTTAATCACCCAATAACTACCATCTCAAGACACACAAGCAATCATGCTTCTGGATTGAGCGAGAGCTAAATAAAAGTCAAAGAAGGATAGTAATATGTGAATTCAGTGATCCTAGTGGTCATAAGTGGAGTCCCTGTGACTGGAATACTTCCGTCCATATTCGTACAATGTAATCTACTCAGATGTATTTCTCAGGCAACAAACAAGAAAATTTCCCAGCCTAGAGTTCAGCTGCAACATAGTAGATTCCAAGAGTATTCTCGACTGGTAAATTGAGGGCCGGAATCGCAGGCTGCTTTCGTCAATCAGTAATTGCAGCTTTAATTTTATCCTTCAAGTCAGGAATCGGCTGGTCATCGTCCACCCTCAAACCTTTAATTACACGAGCTAATAAAGCATAGATACCGATCATCATTAAGACCTCGACTGTTTCCTCCACAGACAGCAATTTCAGAGCGTCCTCAACTGTTTCAGGCTTATTATCGTAAGTCGCCAGCTGCTCATCGATAAGGCGAAGAATGACCCGATCCCGATCAGTCCAGGGACCTCTACCATCCAATACTTCTTGAATGGAGCACTCAATGGCATCCATCTTTTCTTTCGGGAATCCAAATACCTCAGCCACAGGTTGATTGACTTCAAACTCATACTTAGCCTTGAGAATTGTAGCAATCCGTAGCACGATCAACTGCCAGTCGAGGACGGGAATATTGCGCTGTTTCCCATCGAAACAAGCGCCGAGGAGGCCGCTAAAATGTGGGAATAGGCCGTGAGAATGAGCCAGCGTCAGGAGGATGTTGCGCCGAAATGGAAGCACTTTAAGCTTCTCTTTAATAGCAGGAGGGGCCGAATCAGGGTCCACGTAGGGTACAAGGCAGGTTTTCCGGAAGGGATCTCCTGTAGACTCATTGGTATCTGCGGTAGGCATTCTGAAATGTTCTACCTACTCATCAGTATGCAGAAATCTTGGTGCTTAGGAACGAGGATAATCCTGGGACTGACACTGAAATATGAATCAGAAAGGGACGGCAAACCTTGTTGAGATTTCAGTGAGCAAATCTAGAGGACCTCCGCCGTAGGTAAAACTGCTTACTGCATTGAATTCTCTCTAGGCTGAGAGCCATACTGTTCTTTTCCCTGGCCAATTTATACAGACTCGTCACATGAAAACGGTAGATAGAGCTGTATCATGAGCTATAAATGATGCTATATGACGTCGTGCGCACTGTAGACATTATATAGATAGCTGGAAAAACAATTGCCTCCCCTAGGCTAATAGCCGGATGGTATGTCGGGATCTGTGGATACTCATCCATGGTAGTCTGATGGAGACCAAAAAGCTATGATCGCCGACGTGGCATTCAACTGCAATCTTAATGATGCCGTCTCCAGAGACTCGACATGGTCTGGATGTACGCCCATTGCCGAACCAGGATACATCTGATAACAGAGGCCTGCATAGGAGAACCCAAAGTAGACAACTCAAGGGCCTATTGGTATATTTGTAATATGCAATTTTGACGCAAGCTTAGTTTTCTCCCTCTGGCAGGTCTACTGGAATATGCCAACCAGTTTCGGCCCATTTGCTTGAATAATTCGCTCTACGCATCATCACCCGGCTATATTTCAACCTAGTACAACAGAATTGTGGAAGGTGAAACCTCATGACTGCATAATGAATACATCATAACTATCTGTGGCTCTAAAAGGACTATCTTGGACTATAAAAGCTAAGAATTATTCACACCGTCGATAATTTTTACAATAGGCTCAGGTGTGACTATACATCAGTTTACGATAAATATCCACCGTCTTTGCCTTCGGGGACTTTTTTCAGAATGGACGGCCTCCCAAATAAGGAGTCGCAGGCACCTCGTGAGGTCAAGATCAAGTGGCCTAAGCTTGATGCAACGGTTACGGTGAAGATGAACGACTCAAACCCAACGTTGGTTAGGCTTCTTGGAACTATACTGCCGTATTACTCTCTCCAGACGCATGCCGTTGTCGCTGGGGATCAGTTGTACCATCTTGTTCCCCTGGAGCAGTTGATTGTGAGTGGCCACTCTTAGACGAGAGTTTCATACCACTAATCATGAGAAGTATACGCCCGCCGACAAGAAGGCCCCTGATCGAGCCAAGGAGCCTGATGGCTCAGTGTTTCTTTCATCATTCCAGCACCTAGTCATAAAGTATGGCGAGGTTACTGAGCATCAAGCTGTAGCCACATGTGGGAAAGTTATCGACGAAGATCTTAAGACGCTACGCTGGGTTGCAGATAAGGTTTGGAAATGTCAATGCGAAGCGAAAGAGCCTATTGAAGTGGTCGTTTGGGATGCTTCAAAGCCCGAACCTGATCCAAAGCGGATCTCGCTATTTAAGTTTCAGAGAACTGGCGTAAGTGATGAAGTAAGGAATCTCGTGGAGGAGATACATAAGGAGGTACGCTTGTATAAGCATCCATTAGTAGTCGCCTGCTGATGTCAGATACATAGACGGAGAAGTCCTGGTCGAGTGTTTCTGCGGAAATTGAAAAACTCCATCATGGCCAAGCCCCAGCGAAGCCCGGATCGAAGAACTCTTACCTCGGTGCTATGATGTTTTCAAACAGTGTTGTTCGAACTCTGGGCTATCACATCTTCGACAATATACTTAAAATCGCTGCTACGCGCCCCGAGTTTACTCTTCAACATTTGATTATCCTCTTCCGGGACCTTATTCCGTCAATATCAGAGTTCATTGGTTATCTGGGTGTGGAGTTCCTCTGCGATAGCTATTGGAAAGCTGATAAACTTATCAAGGAGAATATTGAGAGCAATCCCGACCAGGAAGAAGCTCGCGAAGACTTCCTTGCAATTGTGAGCGCATTGGGATTCTACGTCAATCTTCTCAATGCCCAGAATCTCCACATGTTCCCATGGAAGCATACAGGTGAATATCAAATCCGGTAGATATCCGGTATATCAAGAAGGCAAAAGGCTTGAAGCTCGATGCATACTATACAGTCTTGTTCTAATGGTGGCCCTAATACCGAACAAAATGCTCTGGACGCCGATGCTTCCAACAGGTCATCCGGGTAGAGCGAAGGGAACGGGATGGAAATGTTGTCGTGTATACTAAGGTCCCGGCTTTCATCTCTAAAAGTTTCTCATTCAGGATATGATTACATAGCTGCAGAATTCTTTACAACCTTAAGCAGCAGGGTTGACCAGACATGATTAGTACGAGATGATGGTAAACCAGATATGAAGGCTGAAGTTCTTTACGCAAGACCGAGTACAGAACAAACAGGTTAGCGAAGAAAGGTACCCCAAGAGGGCGGATTAGCTGGTGCAGCGATGCATCGAGACCAGCTTGGCCATATGAGGGGTGCTGGAAGGTTTCATATTTTCCCCTGTTATCTCGTTTAGTACTCTTTTTCCCGATATGTATTCTGGACTGGGGTTCTCTCATGGTATCATGCTCGTGGTATAGACATAAGAGTGAGACTTTTCTGGCTCATGTTCTGCAATATCCTTGACAGCACAGGGAACTAAAGTTAATTATTTGATAAGGTAGCCAATTGGACTCATATTATTATTCTCTCAGTGGTGGAGTGCCTCGTCTTTCGTATGCTTGGAACAGGAGTTGGACGCAAAATATTGGATGAAAACAGCCTTCTCTGTGCTAGTGAGCGGCAGTGACCGTCACATTGATTGGCACTAAAGGCCACTATCCCTAATGGAGGGATTTAGTCTACATATATGTCAATTGGCCGAATTTATTCCGTGAAATACTTATAACATCTCCCGTATGCTTGCATGTTATTGATGGAGCAGCAAGCTTGGTAGACTGTGCATACGGTTAGCATACAGGGTAGTGCTATGTATGAAATCAAGAGTTCTGACGCAAGGCTAAACACAACCTGTTCATATGGGAAGAAGAGAGCTCCGATCAAGGAAGAACAAAGACGTTTAAAACCATTTGCCAAACCCTACACTCATCATCCACCTACACACTCTTAGCTTCTAGCTGCAGGAGAGACCGTGCGGCATCAACAATGGTTTCCTCCAGAGGACGATATTTCAGACCCAAAATCCTTTGCGATTTGGATGTGTCGACAGTGTAGACATCAGAGGGGACTTCTGCCGCGCTAGGGTTCCCCACAGGAACACGGTCTTTGATCTCAGGCAGGTTGGCCCGTAGAGCGTTCACAAACTGTTGGTAGGTAAAATTGCCCTTACAAATGAAGAAACGCTCGCCACCAGCCTCAGCCACCTGGTAAGCGCGCAAGTGTGCTTCAGCCACGTCACGCACGTCCACAAATAACCAAAACACGTTCTCCGGAACCGGGTCGCTGGACTTGGACTGCGGCGATATTAGGCGGTAAACATCCATGGAAGATGTATTCAGCTTGGCAATGTTGGCGGTGGCGTTTATGTTGGGTCCGTATATCATAGGCGGCAAGATTGTCGTGATGTCAAAGTTGGCTTTGTTGCTCTTAACAAAATCCCAGGCAGCCCGCTCAGCCAACGATTTCGCGGTTGTGTAGGCCAAACCCGCCGGAGCGCCTTTAGCAGCGGCGACCTCGTAGGGGGTCGGGTTCCAGTCCAGCTCGGAGTAGACGTGACCAGGCCACTTGCCTTTGGTAACGTCTGCCATAGCAGCAAACGAAGAAGTTAGGACAACGCGTTTAACCTGAGGAGCAAATTCGTGGACAGATTTGAGGATGTTGAGGGTCCCATCAATGGCCGGCTTGAGCAGTTCACGCACATTATCCTCGACTCCGAAGACTTGGAATGGGGCGGCTGTATGTATCACTCCATGAACATCTCTCACTGCGGTATCAAAAGCCCCCGGCGTCGCAACATCCTCAACAACTGCAAGTGTCAACTGCTGCGCATAGCCAGAGAAAGCTTGTTGGACCTTTCTAGCGGTTTCGACAGAGCGAACAGTTCCCCGGACCTGGTAACCAGCACGAAGGAAATAGTCCACAATATGGGAAGCCAAGAAGCCGGAAGCGCCTGTGATGAGGATTACTTGGTCTTCAGGGGCCATCTTCATTGTGTTGACAAGTTCTCGAAAGGCGAAACAGTAGTAGATTCAGAAACAATGAGAGTTTGATGTACTCGATGATGGACACTGGAAATAGCGACAACTCTAAGGCATTTATAGCTGCGCCTGGCATCTTTAGTTTGCATCTATATCCCCGCATTTGAGTTTCCGTTAAGTCCGGGCTTACGTTTATTCGCTGAGCCAAAGGCGTACCCGAACGACCGAATTCCGAGCACCGGCCCCCCGAGGCTGAATGTCTTGACGTCGCATAAAGGGGATATTGCAAGTATCCGTGGCAGTGAAATACTGGTGGGTTCAGTTCTAATCTTACGGGAGAGTCTAGAAAGGGGGGAATTTCGAAGAGTTGCTCTCGAAAGAAGTCGAGCACTTTTTTGGACAACAAACATCCTAGTTTCAGTTGGGATTAAAATATTAAAACATGCCACAGTAATATCTACGATGGGCCAAGAGATGGTCAGTAAAAGCCATATTCTTGGTTCTTTCCGCCAAAAAATTGTATGGCGTCTAGCTGAGAGGTGGTATTTGCCACTAAGAACTGGTTGATCCAGCGACTACCCATTCCATATGTTTGAGGTACGACAAACCGAGTCAACTCGGAATACGCGAATACCAGTCCCTCGGGCTAGGAGATGCTCTTCAGAGTGATATACAGAGAGTTCTTCAATCACTCAACTCATTCAATTGGTTCCCTGAGTACTAGCATGTACGAATATCCTGCATCTGGTTATATGATAAACGAGCAGGGAACTGCTTACTGGAGACGGCCCTGCATAGATGTAAGCTGCCAAGCATACACTTCCGTACTTGTGTAACATGTAATCAGTTATCCAATAGTCTCTCAATTCAGCATCGTAGACCTGTGTCGTCCGGATACTGCCTTGCGGCCCAGCCCAAGTCACCGATCCCGAGCCTCCGAGTGACGCGGCCATGGTTCTCAGAATAGCAGTAAACGGAGTTAGATCACGGCCTATATCCGAGGACTTGGGTTGTATTTGGCGTAGGAACCTGGTAACGTGGCACAGAACGGAGCCACCGCGAGATTATGGCGCGACTGAGCTGGATAATCCCGAGTCACTGCTTTTATAGAACTGCATCCCCCCTGTAGACTGCCGGCACATCAACGGCCTTGGATTTAGATTCCCTCTCCTTCGGACTGCTATCTTACAACGCTGACAATGATGTCTTTTGCCTACAAGGCCCTTGGGTTGAATCTTGTATTCAGCCTCTTTGCCGCTGCACACACCCACTCAACGCAATTGCCCATTGTCGACCTTGGCTATGAACTTCATCAAGCTATTTCCTATGAGGTAAATTTCAAAAATTGTACTTGTAGTGCCTGGATGAGACACTGACGTTGATATAGGAACATATCGGAATCTACAACTTTTCCAACATTCGCTTTGCCGCCGCACCGGTGGGGGATCTCCGCTTCAGAGCTCCTGCTCCTCCTATAGTCAACAGAACAACGGCTCAAACAGGCTCTGAGGCCCGCATTTGTCCGCAGGCTCTTCCGTCCTGGATGCCCCAGTCCATGTCAAATGCCATTAGCTACGTCACAAATGGTAGTATTACCAGCATGGGACCTGTTCTGATGGATCCACGTGCGAATGAAGATTGTCTCTTTCTTGACGTCGTTGTGCCGAAGAAGATCTTCGAGACCTCTGGCAAAAAGAGAAAGGGAGCTCCCGTGAGTGGACACCAATCATTACTCACCACTGAGCCGAAATGTCGTCAAAACAAACGGACTGACAGCAAATCTAGGTACTGGTTTGGATCTATGGGGGCGGGTACACGGGTGGCTCCAAATCTGGGCAGGGGAGCGGTTCTCCCGTGGGTCTGCTTCGTCGCGGAGATAATGAGTTCGTCTACGTAGCGATCAACTACCGTCTCGGCGCCTTTGGCTGGCTAAGTGGCTCAACTTTTCAACAGAATGGCGCAGCAAATGCCGGTCTGTTGGACCAGCGTTTTGCCTTGGAATGGGTTCAACAGTATATTCATCTCTTTGGCGGTGACCCCAAGCGTGTCACTGTCATCGGCGAGTCAGCAGGAGGTGGCTCTATCCTGCATCAAATCACGGTCGGTTTTGTACTCGGTTCTCTTTGTTATAATATCGCTTCTGACTGTTCCTAAGGCGTACGGTGGAAGCAATGGGCCCGTTCCCTTCCATCAGGCCATACTGCAGTCCCCTGCATTTACACCAGATCAGATACTCAATCCCGATCAGCAGGAACGGATATTCAATCAGTTCCTTCAATTCGCCAATGTCAGCACTCTGGAGGAGGCCCGACGCCTGCCCTCTTCTGTCCTTATGGAGGCGAACCGCCAACAGGTCTATAATTCTCCTCTCGGAAGCTTTACTTATGGGCCCGTAGTGGACGGCATCTTCGTTCCGGAAGCCCCCTCCCGCCTACTCCGCCAGAAAAGACTGGACACTAAAGTCACTGCGATGTTGGCCTACAATGGCAACGACGGCATCATCTTCTCCGATTTCTCTCTTAGAAACAGCAGTGGCTATCAGAACTACATCACCGGCTTGTTTGACCTTCGGCTTAACGAGACCGTTTACGTCTCTAGCCAGATGTATCCGCCGATCTTTGACGGGTCGCACCATTACACGGATGAAATAAGTCGTGCCGGTGCTACCTTCCAGGAAGTGTTCATTCAGTGCAATGATATCTTGCTTGCGGTGGCTTTGGAAAATGCTACCTTTAACTATGTTTTTGACGTTTTCCCCGGCCTTCACGCACAGGATATTACAGCAACATTTGACGTGGACCTGGATCCAACGCCAGGCGTATTTAATCCACTTATTGCTTTGCAGCAGCTCATCACCAGCTTTACACTCACAGGAAAACCAGCAACAGACCTCGCCAGCCATGTGCCAATGTATGGACGCGAAAATGCATTGTTTTACTTAAATGCAACCGGTATTGGCATGAGCAGGGAAGATCCCCGGGTAATGGGAAGATGCGAAGAGTGGTATCACATTCTGGACACAGCGTAAAATCTTGTGAACTGGTATTTGGGTCAACAAAGAAATTGCGAGGGAGACTAAAGAACCTTTAGTGACCGCCACTTGCTGGTGTGAAAGCGAAGGGAAAGGGAAGTGGGAGCGAAGGTCGTGAATTGTGAGAGAACCTAGCCGTGCGGCTGCTGGAACCTGTCCAATGCTTCAGACCACGTACTCCATAGTCCGCCTCTAATCTGAAATCTATCTCTGTTGCATGATCCGTTCCATATCTCACATTACGTGAATATTTCATGGCCTGTCCAGCCTTTCCATCACTCATATTACTGACATCTATGAATCCACGGATCGCCGTCCATCCAGCACCACTGATAAGAAGTAGGCCGTCCGTTTCTATAGTCGGTCCTGTCGCGAACAGAAAAAGTTACGTAAGGACAGAATCGTAGAAGCCTGTAGTCACAACTTGAGGCACATGGCAAATAGTGATGCTGTGAACACAGGGCGAACAGGATGCTTGGCACCCTATGTTCTCAGGAATGATACACATTAACACTCACCCTGCTGTCTGGTCTTCGGCTTCTGCAGAGTCAGCACCAAACATATACTATGTAGGTCATGTCATTGTTGGATAAAGTCCGCTGACCCGTCCTAAGACAGGGCTTCAGGGTGTTCTTCGAACGGATTTAAGGCGTCCATGGCCCAACTAATAAGTGGCGTGCGACTGTATCTTAGCCTTCATTTCGAAGATAATAGACACTAAAATACAGCTCTAGCCGTAGGCAGAAATGACAACTCTTAGAAACCGAATACTCATAATATCATGTCAACTGATGCTACCATTTTCATTGCACCTCCAGCTGCAGCACGGTGGCTGCAGTCGCTGACAATGTGCACGTTCATCGCCAGTCAAATAGCGGCAAAGGTTCCTTAAGCGAGATAAACAAAGGGTCCATTCCCGACCTTCAGTATGCCACCCCACTCTCCCTCATACCTTGCTGAAGCTGCTGAAAGAGTCCATTATCGACATACACAGGCTCCGCCTTTCCTTGGAGCAGCTCACCCAGAAACTCACTAAAGCGCCTTGGCTTAAAGTCGGGATAAAGCTCACGGGCATCCAGGTAGCCGAGGTATTTTGCATAGACTGGTTCGTTATCCCCCCGGACAAATTTGCTGAAATTGTACTGCAAAGGAACGAGGCTCAGGCGTAGCGGAATGTTGGAGGGTTCAACCTTGAGGGAGGTTTCAATGCGCTCAATTGATGCTCTGATCTCCTCTGCGGAGACGTGGGTACGTTCAATCCTCTCTGAACTCATCTCTTCAATCATTGAAAAGATCTCATTCTCAGAAAGAACGTCGGAACATGTGTAAACGTATTGGTTCAAGGTACGTTCGTCATCAACAATACGAGCGACATAATGACCAATATCCCGAAGATCGGTGAGAATCGTTGGTTTTTCTCCTCCGGCGTGAATGGTGGTATTAGGTCGGAAAAAGGAGGCATAGTCCACACGGCCAGAAGGTAGGGTAGGGAAAGAGACTTGGTGCCAGGCCCCCACATCAATAATGGTGTATGGAAGGGAGAGTTTCCGGATATGTTGGTACACGACCTCTTTCTGTTGCAAAAGTTATGTCAGCGAGTTACAATCTTCAGGTGAAATCGAGCTTCTCCGAGTTTTAAGGTTGTCGAGTCGTGGCAGGTGAAAAGACAGTAAATTCGAAGAGGAGAATTACCTCGTCTCTCATAAACATAGCATCCCCTGGAGGACAAATGGTTGTGAATGCGCATGGCACGAACCGCTTCACTCCGGCCTCCTTTGCAGCTGTTGCGAGGTTAATTTGTTAGATCACGGCCTATATCTGAGATTATGGCGCGATTGAGCTGGATAATCCCGAGTCACTGCTTTTATCTCCGGCTGAGCAATTGAAAGAATAATGTTCATAATATCACATCTTGTTTCGGCACCGGCATCAAAATATTGTCCATCGTAGCGATGTGCTCTTCAGCAATGTCAACTCACCCCTGATACCATGCCTAAGCTGTTTATGTCGCGACCGAGGGAAATTCCCAACCGAGCCGCCCACCTCTGTTTTCCATATAAAATGGCACTCTTCGAGGCTTTGATATCTCAACGACCAAGCATCTATAGGGCCTAAGTTTAGGTATAAGGTGTAGTATAGCCATATAGAGTTATACTTATAAGCTTCAGCCTCCCTAGTATATGTATATACACAGGTAACATAAATTACGCCTGTATTTTTGGTAATATTAACTTCTTGAACATTAAGAGAGAGGAATAGTATTTTAGGGCCTTTCAAAAGAGTATTTATATACTCTAAACCATATATAGTCCAAATATACTACTTAAATTATAGCATATATGGGCCCTGTGGAGATATCCAAGCCTTGAAGAGCGCCATTTTATATGGTATATAGAAATGGCAGGCTCGGTAGCGTGGGCGGCTCGGTTGGGAATTACGTTAATAGGCAATCTAGATAATCCACCTCCGCGCTATGGATTCTGACAGTTTAGGGCCTCACGTGATCAAAATAGCCATGAGAATACGAGGTAGCTGCCAGAGTAAACCTCCTGCCATGAGGACAACTTCGCATATAAATGGAACACATACCTACTTGACGTCTCTGTTTCTATCTTGCTACTTCCTCTTTACCGTGCTCGGCAGTGAACTCATCGTTGCGCGACGCCTTTTGATCTTGAGCCCCTGATCGGCTGCAGATCTCTAAAAAATGAGCACTTCTGTATCCAGTTTGTCGACTTTCCCTCTGGAGGTTGTCATAGAGATATGTCGGCAGCTTGAGTCCCCCCAGGACCGACTGAATCTTGTATGCTGTTCGCGACAGTTCCATAAAATATTCCTGCCATTGCTCTATCAAAAACTATGGGCTGGGGGCGACCTCCTCCGCCCAATTGTCCAGCTTAGCGAGACTCTTGCTAAGAACCCGTCTCTCGCAGCGTGTGTGGAGGCTGTACATCTGTCCGCCTGGGAGACAGAACAGGGAACCCACGAGGCAGACTTCGAGAAAGCGCTGAGATTACACAAAGAATATCCTGCCATCGATGGTGAAGATGAACCGTATACTTGGTCGCTAGATGAGAGCGTCCGTTTAGATCGCATTGACTACGGCCCTCTCTACAAACAGGCACAGCGCGTGACTCGCTCTGCAGATGAAGCAGACTTTTGGCTGGATGCGTTGCAGATCGGAAGTGGCGACGCATGGATTGCACTACTACTTACCTTCTTGCCTAATCTGCGGCGACTCGAGGCAGAGTTCCCCTTCGGCTCGCTGTGGCTTCACTTTGTGATGAGATGGGCCGCAACTCGGGACGTGATCTCTCTTCCGGCGGCCTCTTTCCCGCCAATCTCTGAGGCGTATGTGGACTGGAGCCCTCACGAAATTTGCATATGTGCGGAGCACGTTATGCCTTTCTTCTTGTTACCATCAATGCGCCGGTTTTACGCGAGCGATCTGAATGGCAGCGTAACGGGCGGTGATGACGAGTTATCGCGTTCAACCCCAATGTATGGGACGTCGTCCGTTACTCACATTGAGATCAACGGGTGTAATGGGAGATGGGACCTGTTCAGGGTGATAGGCTCCTGCAAAAACCTCCAGTCTTTCAAATACAATCACCGGGGCTGCCTCGGCTATAAACCAACGGAGTTATACGGTGCTCTTCTCCCAATGAGAGAAACACTTGACACGATATGGCTGGATATTAAGGAGAGGTACAATCGGCATGATGACGATCACCAATGCGATGATGCACTTCCTTCCTTCTGGGACTTCGCTGCTCTGAAAACACTCCATCTCAGACTAGGGAACTTGCCGGTTTTGAAGGAGAGAGAATCCGACATGTCCCTTGCTCAAGCCCTTCCGCCTTCAATCGAGACTCTGCAAATTGCGGATACAGGAAACGTCGGCGATCTCCAGGTCTTTGCCCAAAAATTGCAAGATCATGTTGGCAATGGCTTGGAGTCCACTCCTGCATTGACACAGATTGACTTCAAACCTTTGTCCAATTCTGCAGAGGTATCAGCATTGGTGGAGAGCATGACTACCATCTGCGCCAAAGCGGGCATGAAGTTCCGAGTGTGCGGTATTCCCGGTGGCCGAACTGATTGGGGTGCTGCTGGGTTTGCACCACGTCCATCACGACCTGCCAAAATAGATTGGTTCTGACTTGACCTTCGGTGGTGATTCATATTTTACCCCAGGCAGTAAAGTATTTTCTGTGGATTACATCGCGGATAAGCATATGCTGCCAGCGTTTAAGGTGGCGTCCTATAGTGCAGCTACTGTAGACTGTTGATTAAGAGTTGGGGGATGTGGGGGATGTGGGGGATGTGAGAGGAGCGTGTATTTTTGTTACAATACTATACACAGATACTCTTGTAAGTTTGGTTCGACTGTGTATTGATTTTATGACGTAGATAGATTAGGATGGTCGAATAACTAAATGCCCTGAAACAAGGAACGAGTGAAGGGGTTATACTGCCCTACGCGAGCTGCCCGCAAAGTTTGGCTTGCGTTTGTACTGTATATCGTTGTGAATTCTGGCCGTTTGATTTGTCGATTTCAACTGCCAAGCCGCGTTCTTGTTGGCTCCTGGCACTATGTACTTCTCTATCCATCGTAGCATCATTACCGTTAGGGTTCTACGGCTTCGTTCTGCGCTTCTCTGTATGTTACCATCCATGATTGGCTCTTCCTTGGTTGTATAGTTCTCTCATTGGCTTAAACATTCTGCTATATATTTTCAACCTTTGCCTCCGTGATCCGCTGACTTATGGAGCCCTCACTAGGCTTAGCCTTCGCTTCTCCGCGCTTTTTATGTCTTAGCTTTTACGCCTCTAAGGATTCGTCTGGGCTAGTTCATTTGTTTATATTCAGTGCTTCTCTTTTTCCTGTTTTATAGCGCTTTTTTGGACCATAACCCACTATAGCTTATTCCTATGCCTTACTTCACTAACCTGCGAGAGTATACTCCGACCACCCTTAGAACATTGTTTATAGTTACGTGGAGTTATAGTTTCATTCTATTGTGTACGCTATTATGACTCAAAACTTCCAATCGGCTTCGGCTGCTGTCTTCCGTAACTTTAATCACGCTATGACCGTGTCGCTATAGCTCCTTTCCCTCCTGCTAGGCCCGATATCTTCGACTATTACCTCATAGAAAAAAAATTACCTATGTTACCTATTTATAGGATTTTTTCCTATGTATCCGTCTGCTAAGTACTACTTCGGTCCTGCGTAAAGCGAACGCTTCACGTAATATATCGTCTATTAACGATTCTCAGTCTACTACCCGCGCTTAACCAGCTTCACTTATAAAAACTACGTTATCTACCTACACACAGTATGTTAGTTCGTCGATCTTGTCATGACTGTGGTCGCCAGGTTCGTTTATCTATAACTATCGACCCACCGCGGTGCCCTGCCTGTCGATTAGCATCTTTGCCACCTCTAGTCCATACCCGTCCCTGCTTAGGCTGTGGCCTTCCGATTCCTGCAAATTCGCACAATCTTCACTGCGGCCACTGTCGAACCCAGCCACCTCCTCGACCTCTCTTCGTTAGTCGTCCTTGTTATGACTGTGGAACCCCTTTTCCGGCTCCATCTCGCGTGATTCGCTGTTTCGATTGTCAATCGAGAAGATCAACTATTATACAAGCGCCAGTTGATTATGGACGCTTATGTACAACTACATTTGACCCCTTCGTTAATTCCTTTCCGCATCCTTGCAATACTGGAGAATTCTTATTTCAAAGTTGACTCTCCCGTCTCCCACGATCATTCGATCTTCTAAACGCTGACTATCATATAGATCCTGTCCCTCTTATGCCAGTGCCTACCTTGCAACAGTCGCTCCTCTCACAGCCATCTCTACCTGTTATAGAGAAAAGACGGTATTCGACTTTATTACTCCCGGCGGTCAAAAAACAAAGAACGCTCGACTTACGGACGTTCCAGGACAATTTGAATCGAGTGCTAGATTTCCTACGCGACGAGCTGGAGACTCGGGCCGTGGCTTCTGACGTATTCCCCCAGAGATATGCAGTTCACATACACGAGCGTCCGTAGCTAGATACGAGGATATCATTTCTGAAGCTACCAAGAGATATGTCTGTTCCTCATGCGGAAAACTTGTGCCCGGCTCTAATGTCTATCGGACGGATAATGAGGATCCTTTACTTCTACCTTTGAAGGGAGTTCTTGATACCTGTGGCCGTCATAATAACATTTAGGACCTCTGTTCGTTATGTCATGCTTCACTCAGTCGACATATGATCCCAAAGTTCTCCGCCACGAATATGGTGAATGTGACTCTATGCCAGGGCTATCCATCCGCTCTAGAAGGTCTCACTCTGACGGAAGAATGCCTTATTGCAAAGTGCCATCCTCTTGGTGTGGTTCTAAAACTGCGACCAGGGGGCCATCTCTCACCTGTCAACTATCACGCTCTACGGGGTCATTTCATTGTTATTCCACAAGACCCGGGGCCACTATTACATATCCTGCCAAGCCCGGAGTTAACGCTACATAGCCTGATCAAGGTGTTCTGGTTGGGTGCTCGACCCCCCAAAGATTCGGACCTCAGTCTATTCCTTCTTGTTCGCAAGGCAAAGGTTCTGGCTGCCTTACAATACCTTGTTCGATACAATCCACTCTACCGTGATCTCACTATTAACCAGCCTATGATCGACGACTGGAGCGACGACTTCATCCCACCAGAGCTATGAGATAGCATCATCTATCTCGACGAGCCAGATCACCATGAGCATAAAGGATATACGGTAGACCTGCAGATGGGGAACTACGAGAACGACCTTCAGGCTGCCCAAGATAGCGCGTGTGATGTGAACATTGGCGAGCCTTTATCACTGGTCTTGTCTCCACAGACATTAATAGAGAACGTCAAGACCCCAACCTTCGTGCGCTGCATACGTTGTCCAGCACTATTATAAACAGACCGCCAGCTTTGAGTGAGGTCACATCGGCGGAAAAATGGCTGGGAAAAATGCCTGTTATCTCTTACACAATCCATGGACAAGCTACCCTGGTGGACCACTGGTCAGATCCCCATTACTTTACCGCCGCTTTTCCAACCTTATTTCCAGCCGGGATCGGTGGCCATCTCGACGAGTGAGCCTTCCCGGTGTCGCTTGGGGCGTTTGCCGAGTGGGCTTTGAGCCACTATAGTAGAAGATGCCTCCCCTCTATCAATGATGGTACGTCTTACTAATGCGCGTAGATTCGCTCGCCATAAAACCTTCATGTACCTGTTATATGATGTGATCCAACTCCAGAATTCGTCGATAGGCAACGCGCTCCTCATCAAACGCCAGAATTGGCACTCAGTAACCAAGGATATCACCTCTCTCACAGTAACGCAGCTCCAAAGTGCAACACAGACAGTCGCGATGGGCCAGAAAATTGAAGATCCGATCATTCGACGACTGCTACGTAATATCATGACAATCGGCACGTAGGTCCCAGGATCCTTTGCTCAGAAACTCAGATTACGCTCTGAAATTCGAGGGTTAATTACCCGATATGGCATGCCCACTTTTTGGATCACTATTAACCCCTCCGACCTACGGAACGCCCTTGTCTTGATCCTGGCCGGTATAGAGTACTCCGGGGACAACCTCACCCCGGCTAATGCCGCTATACATGAAGCTACTGTGACTTCTAACCCTGTAGCTGTTGCAGAGTTCTTCCATCACGTCTGCAAAGCCGTCCTGGAAGGTCTTTTTGCTACCAATACCAGCCAGATAGGCATCCTTGGTGAACTCTCGAATCATTTTACTGTTGTCGAGACAAACGGCCGAGGTATGCTACATGTCCACGGATTAGCGTGGGCGAGAGGTAACTTGGCTTTCACTACATTACGTGATCAGCTCCTGCACGATACCAACTTTGCAACTCGTATGGTTCACTACTTAGAGTCAATCATTATGCAAGGCATTGATGAGAGTATTCTACATGACCCTGAAGTGAACATTCCCAGCACGCCACCGTCGGCCAGAGATTCCGAATCCGATGACAACTTTCATCTTCAACTATCATATGACAGCAATTGTGTCGCTCGTAAAACACAGGTCCATTTGAAACACCATCTCGCCACATGCTTCAAATACCGCCTAAGGGGGCCTAGAAAGAAGACTTATCGCTTTGGCATGCCTCACGATCTGGTTCCTGTCTCTAAGGTCAATGAGTGTGGACTGATTCACCTCGCTCAAAACCATGCCTGGATAAACCCATGGAACCCAGCTATTGCTAGTTATGTCCGTTCCAATCACGATATCTCTTGGATTCCAACAGTCTCAAAGACTTTGTCGCTGATCTATTATATCACCAACTACGCCACGAAGGATGACGTCTCTCCTTAGCAGATGGTGGCTAAGGCGGCTTTATTGAAGCAATCCATTGAGAAGGCAAAGGTTGCCGAGCTGGCAACAGCAACAGACCTGCAACTTCAAGAAAAGGGTGTGAATAATTTTGCACTACGTTGCTTTAATGCCCTCTCTCATGACCAAGAGATTAGTGGTGTGCAGGTCGCTAGCGTCTTGCTTCAGTTGCCGACTTATTACACAATCAACTACAACTTTATCCGCATCAACCTCTGGTGGCTAAGACACTATATCCGGGCTATCATTCACCCAGTTCGCCCTTCTGACCCTATGGCAGAAGAACATTGCACGTACGAAACTGGCAAACTGGCGACACCGCCCCCATAAGCATTTTTGATAACTATAAATGCATGGACCACACCTGGCTCCTCTCGCATTATTTGAATACTGCATGCTTATCAAGATAAAGCATGTACGTGATGCCATCACTGACAACGTGGACTTCGACCCAAATCACCCGAGATATACCACACATATACAGCACCTAGCGCGTACTCTATCGCAAGTGGCCACCGTGACTTTCAGCGGGCAGCTAACCGAATTCCAGGCCGCTGAAGACGCGGTCCCAGGCGGTCATCCAAAAACAACCGCGATCATGTAACGACGTGGCGGAGATATTATTAGGGCTCTTTGTTCCCTGGGATCAATTAATTAATCTCTTCCGACCGTATTACACAAAAATGGACGCTTATATTCAAATATGGACGGCTGTTGAGCCAACCCTTGCATTTCACAACAGAGCTTTTGCAAGAAATATCGAGTTACTACGAAAGTCCAAGGAAGACTGTCAGGCTGATGCAAAAAAGTGGAGGTCTGTAAACGGCGCGGCTGACTCATTTCATGATGCTGATGAGTATGAGCCCGCAAGTTTTGACTCTGATAGCGAAGAAACCGAAGAATTCTTCCACCTACAGGATGAGAATTTCAATGCGGAAACATTGATTGCTGCCTACCACTCCATCAGCAAAGCGTGGTATCGAGAGACATTGGTCACTGGCCGTCGGATCCCTCCCTTACTCCGCGCAATGGACCGTACACAGACCTTATCACTACAGAACCTCCAGCCGCTCAATATTTTCAGTACTACTGCATACAAATCTTCTGGGCTAAGATTCCTGCCACTACATACTTTACATACATGGGAAGGTCAACTTAGAAGTTGCGTCAATCCTAGTTCTGACGAGACCACGGATGATGATGCCGGCACTTTTGGGTTTGCATTTGACGATTTTGACATCCACATTGAAGATGGCATTCTGCATCCTATGCTAGCTAATTCAGACACAATCCCTGCGATGGATGATCTCCAATTCCGCGAGGTCCAGAATCCTACTGGCGCCTCTCTTGCGTTCTTGATCAACCAAGACATTCCTCTAAATGAGAAACAACGAATGGTAGTGGAGAAAGTGCTGTCTGAAGCTTTGACCTGGGCGGACCACCCCTATGATTCGTCGCGGCGCAATCAGACTCTCCTCTATGTTGGAGGAGAAGGCGGCACGGGCAAGAGCCAGATTGTCAAGGCAATTGTCGCTGGTAAGAACCTTATCGGACGAAAAGATGAGGTAGTCCTCATGGCGCCAACGGGTGCGGCCGCCGATAACATCAAGCTTAGTCTAATTCCCTATGTTCACTAAATATATCTATGATAACAACCGCTACGATTCTTCTCCACATGCCTTTCTTGCCTAGTATGTCTACCTAGGAACATCTTATACTGAACCGCCGCATTACCCCAAGACCTCTAATTTTCGTTGACACCGGCTGTTTTCAATTTGGCGTCCATATGCCCTCTCAGATCAACTCCCCAGCTATTCTCCACTTAAGAGATTTTATAGACAGCGTGGGACCTGACCCATCTCGACCGGACCAGGGTCTTGCTCTGAAAATTGAGGCTTCTTTACATCTTCCTTTTCCAACCAACCTCTACTCGGACGACGTTGAATTGAATGAGCTTCCGACTACTATACATTTCTTCGCCTCGCCGGGCAATCCTCAGTCCTACGAACCAAACAAATTCATCTACGCCTGGGGCTCATTCTTAACTTCGGTAAACCCAGATGGGGCTCTACGTCTTATTTTACACGCCCATGAAGTTGACTGGTAATATACAATTCCTAAAGCCATGCTAATTTCCCCACTGCTAAAGGTCTCCTTAGTCACCCGGGCGACCATTCCGATTCTCATGCATATAATATGCACTGCCCGGAGGCCGCTCTCCCTACAGTCAGCTTACTGGGAATAGTCCGAAGTGGAGAAGGACAGTTAAATAACAGATCTACTCTGTTGCATTACGACCTGGAGACTAATGTCTATGATCCCTCTAATAAGGCGTCTGTGGCATTTACAGTTTCCATTTACTTCAGGAACGGCAACCGTTGGACAAATTTTCCGGTTCTTGCTAGACAGTCCCGCATATTTATCACTGGGAGAATCTTCGGCATCACTACCAACACACCTTGACTCGCAATTGGCGTGGATGATGTTTATTTTATTCCAAATCTGGGCTCCATTACGACAGCACCGGTGACTCCTACTTCGTCCGTGGGAAAGCAGAAGCAAGCAGATAGATGGAACAGCCGTGCCAACCCAATGACTCCAATAAAGAGACCTCGAATGCTGATCTCCAGCTCTGATTCCCAACCACAAGACGACGAGGTTCAAAACTACCTCTCTAGTACGGCGCATCTTCCAATAGGATCTGAACTCTGCGACGAACCCATCAATAAGGATACAACTACCGACCAACTGACTCGCCTGGAAGACGGTTCGTCGGCTGACACAATCCTCCAGGGACGTCGACCTAAGAGAACTCGTAAATTCTCTAAGGCAGATTCACCTTTATAATCAGCTTATCTATAGTATTAACTATCAAGCTATCTGAGTTGTTTTAAATTGTTTCTGGTACATAAGAAATTCGACGGTAACGCATCATATACAAAGGAGAAGAATATGTTACAGTAAACTCCCGTTTTCGGCACGGGCCTCCATGCGACAGAATTTCGATGTGCCTAATGAAAGTGTGCCGCTAGTATTGCACTAATTCTAATAGAGTAAGAGCTAGTCTGTTTTTAGTCTAGAGTGGTCTGCAACTTCCTGTGTTTCCTCCCATCAAAAGAGGTAGTAGACTAAATATATATATATGCACATTGTGTAGGAAATTTAACATCTACTGTATTAGAGCCAAACCCGAAACAGCAATCATACGGGTACGTTGAATCTACTTTGATTGGGCCTCCATCAATATAGGAGACAAATCAAATGACGCACGACCAGCCGTCCATAAGTATCAGCAGCGAGAGTCAGCACTAGTCCTGAATTGACATGAGCTGACACCGCCTGAGAGTTATAATGTACGCAATCAGAAATAATGGCTTGGTTTCCTCCCAGCACAAGAATCATTTGAGATCCTTGCATAGCTGCTTGAAGCTGTTGACTCGTCTTTTCTCATAATGCCGAAAACAGCAACCGTGGATTGGGAGCCACTGAATGCCAAACCCGGGGCTTTACTCGAACGACCCGCTTGTAAGGCAGGCGATTCTCTGACCAGTTGGGCTCACTGACAACACAGTAGGCCGATATCAGAGACAATTTTCTCTCTTGAATCATTTTGGTATGCAAGCCAATGTGATCATTGCTGCCACCTTCACCAATACAAAGGCTGGAAGCATCGTGCTTTCCAAAGAACTCATATACGCAGCCCTGCAACACGTTGTTCGAAAATACCCTGAGCTTGGGATAACTACTTTCTGTCGTCCTTCAGAAACAAAGACTGGGCAACATCGGCGCTGGTCGGCTTTCCTGCGGCAGATCAACCTGGATGCCCATGTGAAGTTCATCAATATTCCAGCAGAGGAGGAAGTAAAAGGATTGACTGCAACCATTGAGAATTATCATGGCCTTTGGTTTGAGCCATCGATAAGACCTGCATGGCAGCTGGTGATTGTTAACGGAAGACATATACTGTTCGTTTACGATCACTACATCACCGATGGGCGCGGCGGTACATACATATTGGAGAGTATCCTGGAAGCCCTTAACTCCCCCAAAGAAGAATTTGTCAACTCTTCAATCGTCGAGATTTCAACAGACGTCAAGGGTTTCCCCGAGGAAGATGCAATTAAGCGGGCCCCCGTTCCGGTTTCCGTCCTGTATGCCGTCTTGAACTATCTTCGTTTCTGGGGCATCTGGCTGTTATACCGGCAAAAGGACCTCTTCTTTCACGAAATCACCCCCAAATTTCGTAAGCTGGACTTCAACAACCCGCAGAAAGAGGATAACCTCGTCAAGACGCGACTTCACACTCTTCGCCTCGATGCCGCTACGATGAAAAAGTGCATTCAGGCCTGTCGATCCCACCAAACATCTTTTACCAGCCTCCTGCACACCCTTATCAAAGTGACATTAGCAGCGGATTTCTATCCTGAAGCCAAATTCAGTCACTCGCAGGTAGTTGTTGATCTCCGACCATTTTTGAAACCCCACGATAGGGAACAGACCGTGGGCAATGCGGCTTCTGTCGTGTCGAGCTACGACTGGCTTTCCAAGTTCCGACAGGCAGGACAGCAAACAGCTTCGAAAGAGCACACATCGCTTGAATCAAGTCTCTTCTGGGAGCTAGCGCGCAAGCATCGAGCGCATGTCATCAACGATCTCAATCACAAAAAGACGTTCTTGAGAGCTTGGCAGTCTATCGAGCTTATAGGGGAAGACGAAGAAGACTATGTTGCCGGCTTTTTACCGGGGTTGAAACTTTTCCATCGTAATGCTTTCTCTATCTCCAACCTAGGTGCTTTTCGCCCGAGCGTATCGGTCGGCCAGGACATGCACAACGGAAATTGGACCATCACCAATATGGAGTTCTCCGCGGGTGCTATCAAAACCGGGTACGCAGCCAACTTGATGTTCAATGTGGCAGGTGTTCAAGATGGTCCAACTACCATTCATGTTTGTCATGAAGAAGGTGCCTTCAGAGAGGAGTTTGTCAATTCGCTTCTAGAGCGGATTAAATCGCGGATGGATGCCATCATCTGAGTGGGCTATAGTAAATCCTCAACGGTTCTCAGCTATCCAATAGATTTATGCTTTCAAAGTTTGAGATGTATGACAGAAACCAACAAGCGATATTAAACAAGACTACACCAACACTGAAGAGGTCAACCTTATTCGATTATCTAGAGTTTGGACAGTTGGGTGGACGATAAGGGTTGCAAACAAGACAAACAATGGCTGCGTAGCCACTGCTTATCCAAAGCATCCTGAGTACTCAAGAGGAAAATCGTAATGGGGAGTCCTAAGACCTCTGCATCAAATCAATGTATTACTTGAAATCTGGCTTAAATAGATATCTCAGTGTTGGATTTATCAGCTACATGCTTCAACGACATTCGAATTTTTTGGATCTTTGATTGACTAGACGGGCCGTCGACTAACACAATTCCCAACGGTTCAAGAGAAGTCGTAAATTCAAGCTCATCTTTAACTTATGTCCTACGTTACTTCTATTATGACCATAACTAAATATCCGGTAATATCCAGAACTGCTTAGCTTACTTACATAAAAATGCTATACACTTTTACATGCTTACTCCCCGCACTTTGCTAATTGGCTAATTCTAGTAGACACGTGTGTGTACCTTTCCGGTCTGTTATCAAAACTAATCATTCAGGTTTCATACTATTTACTTCCCTCTCGTGCTTGTTTCGTTTCAGGGCCACAGGGTGCGACAGCGCGCGTCACCAGTATGGGCTCGTGCATGAATTAGCTCCTTGGCATTAGGGTTTGGAACTAAGCTTGTCTTGCCATGGGCGGAATGAGGTTTCGGCCCGCCCTGTACGAATCCCTGCATAAAAACACAGGACTTCTTCAAGGTGATATCTCGACTGGAAACCTTATTCTCAACGAGGAGGAAGACAATCCATCCTGGCCAGCATTTCTTATTGATCTGGATTTAGCCATCAAGGAGTAACATAAGCAGCCTTCTAGAGCCAGAGCAAAGACTGGAATAAGAGCATTCATAGTAATTAGTCTACTCTTTAGTGAGTGGCGCTCCTTCATGTATGATCTAGAATCTTTTTTTAGACTAATTTTTTAGATTTGCATTCACTATGACGGACTAACTACGGGCAGAATCATGCTGAAATTTAAGAAATGGAACTATATGGATATAGAAGAGCTTACTGAGTTAAAGAAAGGAGCTATAGCTCACAGAGGTGATTTTATTAGTATGGTGAATAAATAATTTACTGGCTTTTACAAGTCTCTAGTTTCTTAGGTGAATTATTTGCGGAAGGTGGTCTTCCTAAACAGTGGACGGTGGGAGAAAGAGAGTGCAGAGCTATACTTATGGATAAAGAATGTTATTCAGGCAGCATATGAAGATCCCACGGTTATAGATGAATAGATCCAGCTGTTTGAAAGGAATTTAAAGGTGATTATTAAAGTCACACCCTTAATTTCATTAGTAGCAGCACTCATAGGGCTGGTCCATGCCAGGTCAGGTTAGCCGCTGACCTTGAGCATTCTAGAGTCTCTAACTGGGTAGTCATCAAGCGCGGCAAATACATACTGGCCTGGATTGAGTTAAAGTGTATCAGCAAGCATGAGATGTACATGAACTGTGTCCCATGATTGTCATTTGCAGCCCCACTAAGCGCGAGAAGCGCTCTTCCAGTTTCCCTGCCATATTCATTGCCAGCATCAATGGCTGAACCGCCTCTCGCGGCCAATGACAAAGGAAAAGGCCCAGTGGAGAGCAGCTGTAACAGTGATATCCACCAGACTCAGTTTCTCCTTAGTGGCGACCCAGTTGCGGCCTCGGAGGAGGTGGCCCTCCAAGTATGTCAATGACCTCTGCAACTTCTCCAGGTTCTTTTTCTCGACGTTCTCATCAAACGGCACGTAACCCAGGCAGAGGCAAAATCAGCGGAATCCCAGGACCTGGATCTCCCCATCGGCGAAAGAAATCCACTGGCGGATGGCCGCGCGCTCAGCGGGCGTGGTACCCAGCAACTGTCCAGCGGCGGGGCCGCTCTCGGCGACGTACTGCGCGATGGCGCCGGATTCAACGATCTTGGTGCTGTCGGCGCCTTCGAAGGCGGGGACTTTGCCGAAGGGTGGACGTCCGCTACCAACATCTTGCCCCTCCTCCCCCGCCCCCCCAGCTGACCTCTCCGTGATTATATCGACATCTTGGTGACAGGAAATGCGAGATACTCTTTACATGATTTGTCCAAAGAACCATCACAAGCGCCGTTCGGCCGAACGCAAGACCACCAGCCTGCGACAGCAAACCTATATACGTACTGATTAACTCCATCAACCCCGACTAACCACCCATAATTCTTTAAACCGACTCCCTTCTTCTTCAACTAACAACCGTGGCTCTCCTTTCTCGACCATACAGCCCTTGTCCATAACCAGGACCGTATCAAAGTCCATGACTGTCTCCAAGCGATGGCTGACCATCACAATGGTATATCCTTGAAACTCCTCTCCAACAATGAGGAGCATATCGTGCTCGGTGCACAGATCAACGCCAGAGCTGATCTCGTCTAGAAGTAGAATTCCCCGCGCACCCTCAGGACCGTCCCGCTCACGAATTCTTCGCCGGAGAATTGCCCGCGCTAGACTGAAAAGCTGCTTCTGACCTTGTGATAGCGTATCAGGAGCAAACGGCCCGTAAAGGCCCCCGCGCTCGGTCACGAATGGCCATAGGCCCACAGTTTCGAGGACATCTTGACACTCGCCATCGGTTGAGACACCAAATGGATCAAGGTTGGATTTGACCGCCGTGCCGTCAGGAAGGAACACTGGGTCCTGGGGGATGGCGATTATCCTCTGACGCAAGGTCATGCGGTCAATTTTGTGGAGAGGTATATCATCAATGGTGATGTTTTCGGCACGCATCGGGAGAGGGTCTAAGAGGCGGAGGAGAAGGAGGATTATGGAGGATTTACCACTTTAAAGTGGGGAAGTTAGTTAAATTTTATTTTTGGGGGAAAATGTATTATTTGTCCAAGTCACCTACCTTCCTGTCCTACCGCAGATGGCCACTCTTTCTCCCGGTCGAATGGTGAGGGTGAGATTGCTTACAGCTATGGTGCCTGTGTCATCTTCGCCCTCGCTGTATTCGCCAGCGTGGTTAACACATATACACACAGTTTATAGGGCAGCGGATGACATACTCGTAAGACGCCGATACCCCATCGATATGAATAAATCCTCTATTAGGCCAGTCCAAAGGAGGAATGAGATCATCCTCCGAGGAGCCCTCAGGCTTTACCTCGTCACTGAAATGTTTTAGCCGGCTGACGGCACCGATAGACGTCTCCAGCTGTGTGAAAAATCGAATGACGTAGTTCAGAATATCGCCGAAGGTCATCAGTGTCACCAAGCTAGCACCAGTCAGACCTGCGCGGGACCCGAGCTGCGTAGACAATGTCACGACCATGATTGCCAAGAGGGCAACAACTAGCTGAAGCGAGAATCCGAGCCATCGCTGAGTGATGGCCAGAAGATAGAATGGCCGTTGTGAAGTGTCAAGAAGTTCGTTATTTGCGGCAATGCCAGCTGGGACCCAGCCAAAGGCACGGAATGTTGCTACAGCATTCATAGTGTCAAGGAAGTGGGTGCTGGATGATTAGCGAAATCAGTCTCCGGCGGTGAGTTGGTGTTTGCTCACTAAAGTGGACTTTTGCTTTCAAGGTCTAGGAGTCGAAGTTGGCGCGCTGTTCGGAGGTAGAATTTCTGAATCCCGTAGAGGATGGCGAAGATAAATGGGTACGAAATAAGGAGATATGGTGAAGATGTCGCTATGACGGCTGCCATGCCGGTAGCATTTGATATGTCTAGAGCAAGATTTGTGACGGCAATAGGGAGCTCGTTGTCGACCAAAGTCAAATCTTGAGAGAACAAATTGGTGATCTGGCCGGTATCAGTAGTCCTGAAGAATTTCAGTGGCGCATTAATGACTGTGCCTAACGCTGCCTTGTGAAGCCGAGATCCAGATACCTGTACCATAGTTCGGAAGCATATTAGGAGGCACGCCAATAGACACCAAATATAGGCAACCTGAAATAAGGCGTAGAGACGAATGTAAAACGTGCTAGTATGTGACGGATGAGGTGAAGAGACGTCGTTGGACCAATACTGCAGCCAAATTGTGCCCCAGTTGTAGAAAAAGCCCCAACCAAGTCCAAACACAATGAATACGACAATGAATCGCTTTCCAATACTAGCCAAATAATGACGATAGACTGCTGGGTCACCATGCATTCTCGCTCTTTTGTTGATGGAACTATGAGTCTCGGTTCGAGTGGCCAGCTTAAATTCCGGTTTCGATCGTCTCAGGTCATCATCTTCCTGAGTGGCCGTGTTATTTATACACGCATTCTTCGCATCCGAGAGTTTTACCCCAAGGCTTTGGACGTATCTCGTGTTGGAAATTAGGCTCGAAAATGTGCCTTGCTCAACGATACAGCCATCTCCTCCCAAGGCCACTATGTGATCCGCTTGTGGTAGATGTCGAACTGAATGGGTACATAAAACCGCCGTGGCACTCCTTCGACGCAATAGACCTTCCGGGCCAAACACGCGGTGGAAGACTTGCTCTTCCGTATCAGCATCAAGTCCCTTGAGCACATCATCAAATATGAGCAAGTTTGCATCAAGATATAGAGCTCGAGCCATCGATAATCGTTGCTTCTGGCCTCCACTCAAACTAATCCCGTTACTGCCGATCAGTGTTTCATCCCCTTTAGCGAGTGTAGAGAGGTCTGCCTTGAGCATGGTTGCGCCTATGACCTCTTCGTATCTTCTTTGGTTATAAGCAGCGAACCCAAGAATATTTGCTCGGATAGTAGTGTTAGACAGGTAGGGTGCCTGATCACAATATCCCACGTGCTGAGATGATATCCCAGCATCAATCAGGACTTTCCCATGGTAGTAAGGCACCTCACCTAGCAAGACTTTGCATAGAGTGGACTTGCCTGAAGCGACCGGTCCAACGACCATCGTGAGGTGGGACCTTGTGATGTGGAGGTCAATGTTCTTTAAGGCCATCCTTTCGAGCTCCCATCCAAAGCTTCCATTAGTAATGGTCATGACCGGGTCAAACTTTCCGGCTGGGCCCTCGGACTTCAAATCCTTCTCATCAACCCCCGCTTCAAAAGGCAACCGGAAGTCGACCCGCGGTCTCTGATCCAGAAACTCTTGAATTCTGTCTATGCAGGTAAGGGCCGCTAACAGATTGGGAATGTTCTGAAATAGATACCCAAGAGGATCAGCTAATAGTAGAAGATAAGAGGCCGACGTAAATATTCTGCTAACGTCCAGGGTGCGAACTGTGATTGCAAATGTTATCACGGGCGACAGAGCCAGTGGTACGTAGCCCAGTGTGGCAACGACGACATAGACTAGTCGAAAGCGAGACGCAGCTTTCAGCTCATCAATCCGCATGTCTTGAATCAGCTCTTGTACTGGGCTAGAAAGCCCAGATGTCTTGAGATATTTCATATCTGAAATCACTTTCGCGGTGAGCCCGACTCTTTTCTGTATTTTTGCCATCCATGCCTTTTGTCTTGCTCCGGTATACCGGTTCACAAATGCAGCAAGGACAACGCAGCAGAAGACTACGATCAAGGGCGCAACAAACGCCGTCCCGATCTGACGCTCGACTAGCCAACTGGCAAGAGCAACTTCGATTGTGTTTGCCCAAAGTTCGTGGAGGTTCAAGAAGCCTAGCCTGATTCTTTCAACGTCGGCACTCATCAGAGTCAAAGGTGCTGAGTCGCCTGTGGATGACAGTTGTATCTCCGTCGTTTTCTTATATATAACTCCGGCTAAAGTTCCTCGGACCATGCAAAGACTTCGCTCATGTAAATACCAGTATAATGCGCTTGAAAGAGCAATGCCCGTGTATATAAGAATTGTTGCACCAATCAAGCCGTAGCCTATATTTTTTGCATGATCTGAAGAATCCGACTCAGGTCCATGTAAGCGGTCTAAGAGCGTGTGGATGAGAAACGGTTGGCAAAATCGGAATCCAGTCCAAGCAACTCTAGGGACGATTGGTAATAAGATTGGTACCATGAGAGCCTGGACTAAAGCTTTAAGAAGACTCGATTTCTGACCAATTGACTTTGAAGTCTGTATTCGATCCAATAGCCTCTTCTGCAATATTTCCGTAGCCATACTCTGGTCGAGTGGTAACAAGTCGTCCACAGTCAAAACCTTTTGGAATCCAGACAGAAAGAGACTGTTTACCCAGGTGAAGGCAGCGAGACCAAAGAGCCCACTGGTCTCCTCCGGGCTATGTTCTTTCTGGTTCCACCGTGTCCATCTTACCTTGCTCTGAGACTCGAGCAAGAGTAGACAGATCTTTACCGCTACGGCCGCTGTCACCAGGCCAGTCACTCTTATGTCGCCAGGACTGGTCGAGGCAAGCCATAGGGTGCGTACTTCGGCCATGCCCAGTAGTATGGTGATAAGCAAATAGACATGGAGTAAGATCGACGGACGTGGAGACCGACTGTGTTCCAAGAAGGAGACGGTCACAACACTTAGACTGGACACGAGCTCCACAGCCACAGAGGATGTGAATAGCCCACTGGGGCTACCGTAACTCGCAACAGTTCCCAATATGGAGACCTGCAGCGCTGTGTACACTAGGGCTGTAGTCTGTAAGACCAAGTTAGTTGTTTGACCGAGTCTGGATATCTGGTGGCAATCCGTACCAATTTCGCGCAGCGTAAAATGGGTCCTTTCACGATTCGGGGTCTCCAGGCGAGAAAGACCACTCTTCCTAAAGCCGTAGCAATAAAGAGAGAGGCGGGGATCAGCGAGAAGAAAATCCTTTCGAACGTAATTGTGAAGTCAAAGTCATCTCGGCACCCGTAAATGGTTGGCCCGAAGGAATTATCATTGGGGCACGTTGAAAAGAGCATTGTACACAACCCACGGCCTGTAGCACCCAAAGCTCGGTGATTTCCCCAGCTCAAGACGGTCAACAATGATTGTAAATGTGTTTTGCTCCAATATGGAGATATGCCTATGACCGATGGCAGGATTTCAGGCGTCCTCCTCCAGCAGGGTTTGGCTCACCCCCTCAGCTCCCAATATAACATTGTCGGCTTTGCCGAAAAACCCGAAAATAGCGCCGCTATGACAGGTCTTACTGTGGTTTGCAGTAGATTCAATAGAGATTAACCATGTGCGTATTCCATTTCCTCCTATCAACATGTCTATGTTATGGAGAGCCTATCAGTCTGAGTTGTCATTTTTGGAATATGCTGCAGGAATTTAATTTCCTGTTCCCTGGTCACATAATTTACTAAACTATTTCATTACACTGATTCCTCATCTCTGAATGCTTCAAACTCAGTCCAATATTGGCAGGTCTCCAATCATCGGCTAGACCTGCAAGTTGCACCACATGTTTTGTCCTGGGCAAAGAAAACAAGCATTTGAAGAAGGATTTGGAGTAAGTGGTTGAATTAAGCTGGGCACTTCCATGCTCCTAGGTACGTCCATTAATATATCTTGGACTCAATGCGGGGTTGGGATTAAACTTGGAATGATTCGTAAATAAAATAATTATCTGCCCCAGGTACTAAGACCAAGCATCTAGTACCAGGCTGTAATATTTCCCTGCACTGGAGCCTGGAATAACCACGGAACGGGATCAGAACCAGCTGTCAACTGCACTCCGCATATGCAATGTGACTGCGCCGCACACTAGAAGCAGAATGTTTCTGCGGCTTTAATAGTCACCAATCACCGCCAGCTCGTGAACTGTCTTCTCTTGAACGTATATCCCAGCTGGTCCGATCACCCAAGTCAATGATCTTTTTGGCTGGATCTTCCTGGGATCTGGGCTGACCTTTCCTAGCCTTTTCATACCGTCATTTGCAATCGCTGTCGTTGGCTGGTATATGGACCAGGTTGGGCCAGTAGATTGCGTGTATCGGCTTTCTGCTATGTTTTTCAACCTCAGTAACGTCTTCAGCAGGCCGCGTATAAGAAGTTCCCACTAAAATTGCCCTCCTTTGCGCCATTCTTGCAATCATTCGACTCGGTGACAACTTCAGCGCCATCCGGTTGTCAGCAGGAATCAGCTACGCATTGAAGCCACGAAAGCGAAAGAGCCAGGGATTTACGGTGCTCGCGTGGTCTATGCGCAGTGGTACACGCTATTAAACGCCGGCGTCGCTGCAGGTACTCTATGGTCAGCTGATCTAGCAACAGCAGCCGGATGGGAACTCTTTGATGTCGCTTAGGACACTTATGTGCTGTTGCTATGTGCGCACGGACGATAAATTCTCAACTCAAGGAACCAATGACACCCGCTAATACAATATGTGGTGAGGTAATTTCCTTGCAATTTCTCTTAGTGTGTTGTAGGGATGGTGGTTTGGTATCATCATTTTTCAATTTTTCGCGACAGAGTTGACGCTCCTTAAGCAGTTTAATTACAGTTGATTTCTCTGGGGCAATCCATCACGGAAAACGGGACGGAACAGCAGACACCATTCACAAGGGGTGTCTATCAGGCTGCTCCCTGGGAGATCACTGTTGTAGTCCCGGGAATTAATGGTTAGATGCGGCAGATTCCTTTCAGTGGTATCAGCCGCAAAGATATCTTTTATTACCTATCTCACAAGGAGTCTATGTGTCCCAGATTTTCGGTGGAAAAAATAGCTATCAGATAGAGGAAGGTATACTAATATCCTATAAATACCATACTGCACTCCAAAAACTACTATTGCTAAAGGACAGCCAGTCGAGCTTTAATCAGCAGACTGATCCACTCATAAAAAGGCTGTCACGCTGTGGTGGGTGCATAAGCCATTCCAATCAAGCTGAGGTTGCCGCCGGAGGTCACCAAATTTTAGGTAAATTAGGGAGAGCTTAGATGGAACGCCTGAAACGCCTGGGACGCCTGGAACGCCTGGAACGCCTGGAACGCCTGGAACGCCTGGAACGCCTGGAACGCCTGGAACGCCTGGAACGCCTGGAACGCCTGGAACGCCTGGAAAACCAGGCGTTCCATTAAGTTCCACAGGTCCACTATCGTTGCTCGGTAGCTCATGCAGCCGTAACAGAGACGGCTGGCAGTCATATTTTTGCCAGCCACCTGCGACTTTGTCCTCTTGTAGCCGATAACCTTTTATAACGGTGGGTGGCCTGAGATATATGAATAAACATGGTTTTTGACTCCATAACTAGCAAGACGGTAGAACCCGCCGCTAGGATATTGAGTGAGCATCCTCCCTGACAACCAATCCTCTAACAATGCATCAGATGGTGATATAGTCCTGGCACCATAAGCAAGACCATTCTCATCACTATAATGATGTCAAGGCATGATTCCGTCTCAAACGCCTTCCGGACTGTCTGAAATAATAATATCTCTAGATGCTCTTCAGCGAAGTGTCAATAGTTCATACCACAAAGCACTTGCATGGAGGTCTTTTGGTCCGCAATGGAAAGATAAAGCCTCTCATACTGGATTATTTTGGACACATTGTCTTCCAGGTGAATTATGTTCGGGGAGTAGAATGACTGGCGCAGCCGATGCGGTCCATTTCAACAATCCATTGGTTACCATTTTCCCGGGACCGTTTTGCTCCGGCGCCACTTTGACCTTGAGCCGTACTTTTGGAAAACACTAATACTGTAAGGTTATACCTAGGTGCTTCCTAGTAACGATCCATCCCTAGTTCGCACCTCTGGGGATACTCCATCTGGTGCTAGAGGCCGTCCTTAGCCGTTTCCCTCTCAATCAAGGCCCCTCAAAGGACAATATCTAGCGCGATCAGTCGAAGGAAGTATAAAATAAAGCATAAAAGTCGGAGACTGCAAAGACGAGTCGTCGCAGAAAAGGTGCAATGAGGACAGCCATGCTCATCCAAAATATACATCCCGAATTTAACGGTCTCCATACCCATGCATATGATGAATCATTGGCTCGGTATCACTCATCACTACTCCTCTTAAAGGATTCGAATCCTGTGCAATACTAGTTGGGATTATCTCCGGGATTTTCCTATGACTTGGCGGGGCCTCTTTCGGACTACTCATCGTCTACCGGACATGGTTATATATCATAGGCAGTTTTACATTTAACTCCTTGATTGAATGAGCGAATAAACGAATGACACGAAGTCAACCCAGGAAAACCGGCCTAAAGACAGGGGGCAAAACAGGATTGGAGAATGGAGGGTACAATGTATCCTGACGGAGCCGACTGGGAATATCCAGAAACAGGGGCTGCGTCAAAAGGTCCCGTACTATTGTAGTGCTTACAGGGTGTGAGAATCAATGCGAGCATGAGTAGGTGGGAAGATGCCAGGCGGATATGAGTCCTAGAGTGCGAGCAGATAAATATCCTGAATTCTTTACGAGGCATGGTTTGGGAACGGGATTGAGCCCAAATCTTATCATCCTGTCTCATTCTTCACTACCACACATTACAATCATCAAGATGTCGCGCGAGAATGGTCAAATCAGCTACGATATCAACCTCCCTTACACGGAGTTGACAAAAGAGACGAGCCGAAACACAAAGTATGCCGAGTATCTACCAACTTGGGATAAAGTGTGGTTTGATCCCCTCCCCCCCTTTGAGTACAACGATCCCGCTCTTCGTGTGAAGGATAAATCGTTGCCCAATCTGCTTGGGACCGACACCAAAGCCTCTGATATCCAGCCGTCGCTCGGCACAATTCTAGAGGGCGTGCAGCTTAACAAGCTTTCTGATGCTGCGAAGGATGAGTTGGCATATCTTGTTTCTCAGCGCAAGGTCGTTGCCTTTCCGGACCAGGATCTAATTGACGATGGTCCTGGTGCCCAGGAAAATTTCATGAAATATTTTGGAAAACTCAACTACCAGCCTGTCTCAGGAACTGTCAAGGACCACCCAGGGTTCCACATCATCCACCGTGATGGAAATAAGAATGAGATAGCTCAATTCCTTGAGCGAAGGACCACCACAACCCTCTGGCATCAGGATGTTAGCTACGAGATTCAGCCTCCGGGATACGTGATGCTGGGACTGCTCGAGGGCCCAAAGGTGGGAGGAGACACTGTCTTTGCTGGTACGGATGCTGCTTACAGGTAATGCGTGCCTAAAATCTTACGTTACCAAAGAAACAGGTGCTGACAGGACAGACAGGCGACTATCCCCTACGTTCCGCGCTCTGATCGATAGTCTTCAAGTTGTTCATTCGTCCAGCAAAATGATCAACCATGCCCGCGCCGCAGGAGGTTTGGTACGAAAGGACCCCGTTGACACTGTCCACCCACTAGTCCGAGTTCACCCTGTTACTGGAGAAAAATGTATTTTCATGAATGGCGAGTTCATTACAAGGGTAGTTGGCTTGAAAGACTCTGAGGCAAAGCTATTGCTGGAGTTCTTGCTGCAGCACATCATGACCGGCCATGATTTCCAGGCTCGTGTCCGCTGGAGCCCCAGAACGATTGTAATGTTTGACAATCGCTCAACAATCCGTGAGTCCTGTTCGCGCTTTCGCTCACTGATTGCCTGCTGACTCATTAGATTCTGCGATTGTTGATTATATTGATGAAGAACATGGTGCCAAGCCACGACACATTTTCCGACTATGTGCAATGACCGAAAAGCCCATCCCAGCCAAGGGGCTGGATGAGCAGAGACTCTGATTTCCTTCAGAATGAAGTTACGCATCCAGCTAGTGGTGCAGGTCTATCGCTAAGGGGTGGTGTCTGTCTTAGGCCAAAAGGCTTTGGCTTGAGAAAATGGAGCCCTGATATTTCAGCACCATATAATGTAACTTTTTCCCTGATCCGATTCGAAATTGTGACATATGCTTGTTTTATGGAAGAGGGAGCTAAGATAATATAACTATATGTGACAATCTTCAGCAAATACGTTGAACGGGATCTAATTTCTGAGGCCTTCATGTAGGACATTACGCATACCACTCTCTATTCTAATCTGTCCGCATTATTGATGTTCGCTTCTTCGAGCATCAAGGTATCCGTTGTTGGTTTTGGGGAATGACATCTTAGGTCAAGGCGCACTAGGGTGGATGGTGATCTTCCGCCAAATTTTCTGTAGCGGCGCAGGATCTCAAAAATGCAATGTTGGTGTGGTAGTTCGGTTGACAGTTGTACTCATAGCAGCTACGCTTTCTTTGGCAATTGTAAGGCTTTGATTTGTCGTCGCTGGCTGATGATGACCCCTTTCCCAATAGCCTACCGGTGGACAGGGTACTGCGTACTTTTGCCAGCCGCACACGGTGGAAAGTGGAGTGCCGTCCTTCGGGGAAATAGTGTTCTCTTAGCCTAGGCTCAGATTCTAGACTAATGCCCAGGGGAATGTGCGACACTGTCCCAAGCACGGAGTTGGAAAAAGGCACGTATTCGGTTTAAAACGGTTATGCAGATCAGTAAGGCGTGACATCCAAATCATGGGCCAAGGCTTTGGACCAGGCACGTGAAAATTAACAAGGGTAGCCTTTGTAACCGAGTGCACCTGAGCACACTAGTTACATCCTGGTTTCGCTGATGTGGATCCAAACAATTTGTGTAGATCTTATCGAGCACATGGGGCAATAGGAAATAGAAAAGAGAACTTGCGTTGCCACATATATGCGACGACATCTCCCGTTTACTACACACGAGACAAACATGTATTCTTAGTTATTTAATGCTGCTTCTAAGGACTCTGTTGACACGCAGCACGGGAACTTCCAATCATTATGGACTATAGCCTCCTCACATATTTCGCGCAGGGAGTCGTCCAACGACCTGGAGATGATGAGCCTCCAAATCCCAGCCGATTCAGTCGAAACACGTCCGGCTTCACGTTCGGGATAAGCGATGGCCTGATAGAGTTAATACAACAGGTATCCTCTCTCCACACACGCTCCAGCAGGTCACCTGGCTTGACTTCCACAATCATATCTGAATCTGTTGGAATTTGGCAAAAGTTGGACAGATGGCAGCCAAAGTGCTCTCCTCCATCAAATACCCCCGAGTATATCCATTTATATCAGTCGTACAACTCAGCGCTGTTCATATGGTTACACCTGGTCGTTCATCCGGACAATATTCAAGACAACAAAGTCCAAACAGTAGTTCGGACGGGACTAGAGGAAATTGCAGCTGTCACTGCCACTGAGTTATTGCCACTTCTACAGATTCCTGTGTTTGTGCATGGCCTAGCAAGTCTGCAGGCGCAAGATCGAAACAGAATCTCAAGGGAGTTCGAGAGAATCCGGTCCTCGGGGCGCTCTGTGGAGTTGAGCGCTTACCAGAGTGTGGTTCAGAGATGCTGGAGTGCTCAGGACAGAGGAACTAGAAGAAGCTGGGATTGGACTCGATGATGGAGAAGGTCAAACATGTCAACCCCTGGTGTATTCCCTGTCTAAGCCCTGTTGCTACCAGCTTTCAATGTGCTCAGACTTCATGGAACTGGAAATGGTATTAGTGTCTTCTGCCCCTGATTCTGAAGTGGTTCGGGACCACAGACAGAAACTGTGGTGTCAAATAAAAAGTCTGATTGACTTAACCTATGATATCATCCGAAAATCTATGTGGACTAAAAAATGCCTCACTGTTCTTCAGGAAGTAGAATCAAAGTCTAGCCCCAGTTCCGGAGTTCCCCAAAGGTCACAAAGGGCACGCGATCTATGAAAGTTACAGGTTTTCCATGACTAAATGGAATTGAAGTGGAAAGCTCAGCAACTGCGCAAAGCGCGCTTAAGATATTGATTGCTGGTATATTTATAGGCTGGTGCTCTGGCAAATAACCTGCTTTCCCCTCATCCCTACCAGGGTGTTTTGACAGTAGAGTTACTAATGCTCGATTCTCAGGCGGCCCATGATTTGTTCTACGTCTCTGTCTGAGCGCTGACCCTCCATGCTCATCAGCTGCCATTGAAAATAATATGATTGTATTTGACAGCGTAATGGCATTATGGACTCCCCACTGTAGCTTGGAAATTGTTCAAAAATCTTTGCTGGGTTAATGGCAACTTCATCAAGCAGCATGGACAAAGAGTCGTGTTTGGGGGAGGCTGAGGTATTCAGTTGAATATCTGAATGACGATATTCTGAGTGACAGTCTATTTGGTTCCATCAGTGGCTACTGGATTGCTATATTACTGCTCGATTGGATGTACCTCTTCCTGTCTGCCAGATAGCTCTGTTTTAAAACCAAGAATTGCACTCGTGCCTACATACAGCTGATGAGTTGATTTCCTGTCAATCGAGGCCTTTTCTTTTCTTTTTTTTTTTTCTTTTTTTTTTCTTTTTTCTTTTTTTTTTTTTAATATTCTTTTTATTTTTATTTTTATTTTTCTTGTTTCTTTCCTGACTTCCTTAGCATCACAGTATAGTTTGGTCAATCCACCTTACTCTATAGAGCAATCGTGGGAATATTGGCTCCGTCGTTACTGTTCGTAGCTCTGAATTCCCTGGTCATATTTTAGAAACTCCGAACTCTGGCCACGATGCTTTTGAAGTGAAAGGTATAAATTGAAAGCCTTTCCATCTGGTCCCAGGTCATCAGAAACCAAAGTATAGCCATTTGATAGCAGCTCCAGTGTCCATTCTTCTATCCGTGGTTCAACTTGTTGCATCCTCTTTTCTTCCCTCGGTCTGGGATCACTTCTAACCTCTATGTTATCTCCTTCGTCTACGACGATCGGAAATTCCGTCCAAATGGCCAGGGCCAGAGGGTACCGTGCCTCCAGCATGTTTCAAGAAAGCCTTGACTGGAATCAGAAAGTGCCACCAGCTGCAGATACACACGTCCATTGTTTAATTGAAGCACAAGCGACTCAACATCCTGAACTACAAGCAGTGTGCTCCTGGGATGGCAGCCTGACATATGATGAGCTTGACAAATATTCATCACAGCTGGCCTCTCACCTATCAGTATTTCATGGAGTGGGTCCGGATGTCATTGTTCCTCTCTGCTTTGAGAAGTCTGTCTGGACGATTGTTGGACTGCTCGCAGTACTGAAGGCTGGCGGAGCATTCCTCTTGTTGGATGTCTCACAGCCTGCCGGTCGCCTCGAAACGATAGTTCGACAGACAGGTGCAACCGTTGGTCTGTCATCAACAAAGTGTGTCAACATCTCTGAAGCCCTCGTGGAGGAGACTGTGGTTTGTGATGGGAACACTCTTTCTGCATTGACCAAAGAGCATGTGCACAAGGCAAAAACGGAATGTTCCTGTGAGGACCTTTCCAATCCAGCATACTTGATTTTCACCTCGGGAAGTACTGGCACTCCGAAGGGGGTTGTAATCGAGCATTCACAACTAGCAACCACGTCAACAGTCACTGGACGCCTGTTGGGATATGGGCATCGGTCACGTGTTTTCCAGTTTGCCTCCTATGCGTTTGACGCCTGCATCACCGACATTTTCGCAACTCTCGCACATGGTGGCACAATCTGCATACCCTCGGAATGGGACCGCAACAATGCTATTGTCGAATCCATGAACCGCATGAGGGTCAACAATGCAAAGTTCACTCCCTCTCTGGCTGGGACTATTGCCATCGAGACCGTTCCAACGTTGAGAACGCTTGTGTTGGGCGGAGAAGCCTGTCCAATTTCATTCGTCGAGAAGTGGTCTGCAATACTACAATTGATTCTCGTGTATGGGCCTGCGGAATGCTGTGTGATTTGTTTTACAACAGATGCCAGTCAACGCAAGACAGTCCCCGCAGAGATCGGACGGCCGGTTGGCTCGCGTGCCTGGATTGTGAGGCAAGATGATTCCAATGAGCTTGCCGACGTGGGAGAGGTGGGAGAGCTATTCATTGAGGGCCCTCTTGTCGGTCGGGGCTATTTGAATAGACCCGCGGAAACAAAGGACAAATTTATCTGCAGCCCAGGATGGATGCCTACTCACCTTATGAACCCGCAAAGTCGATTCTATCGGACTGGAGACCTCGCCAAATGTCTCAAGGATGGAACGGTCGTCTATGTGGGCAGGATCGACAATCAAGTGAAGATAAGAGGGCAACGCCTGGAGCTCGAGGAGGTCGAGAAAAATGCGCATGACTGTCTGGTTTCTATACAAGATGTTGAATCCAAACGTATCGTTGTGGAAGCAATCGCCTCATCTAATTTGATTAGCAAACAGTTGGTGGCTTTTGTCCAAAGTACTGGGAGCTTTGGCTTCCTGGATTGGGAGACACCTGAATGTCTGCCAGCCATATGCACTTCGTCCTTTACACAGCAACAATTCGCGGCAGCCGTGCATAAAATCGAGAGCGCGATGAAACAAGTGCTGCCAGTCTATGCTATACCATCTATATGGATTCCAGTCCGTACTTTACCCTTGAGTGCCTCTCGGAAGGTCGATCGGAAACGCGTCCGTGATATTATTGCCCCTTTGTCAGTCAAACAACTTGTGTCCTTTGTGACTCCCACCAGTAACTCAGCGCGAAAGGAACGCAGGGTGGCGTTGACGGAGACAGAAGCAAAACTCCTGGGTGCATGGGCAGCTGCCTTCGATATCAATCCACTGGTCATCACACCCGAAGACAACTTTTTTACCCTTGGCGGCGATTCGCTCATGGCCATTAAACTGGTAACTGCTGCTAGAGCAAAGAATATTGACCTAAGCTTCGAAAAGATATTTAAGTATCCGGTACTGCGTCAAATGGCCCTAGCTACAGGGACGCTCAACCCCAATGACCACAATCAAACTACCATACCACCATTCTCCCTTCTTGATGCACCTAGAGATGCGCAACGCGTCCGCCGAGAGGCTGCCAGTCGGTTCTCGGTTTCCGAAAGTCGCATCCAAGACGTTTATCCATGCTCACCTATACAGGAGGGACTTCTGGCCCTCTCTATGAAAGACGCTAGCGCCTACATACTCCAGTTTGTATACAGTCTACCTGATTCAGTGGACATTGAAAAACTGAGAGCGGCATGGGAAGAAGTTGCAGCAAGTACTGCGGTTCTCAAGACGAGGTTCTTCATTCATAACTCGGACTTACTACAGGTAGTGATTAACGAGCCTTTGCGATGGGGGATGATCGATGCCGCTGATATTGCTAGTGCTCTCGCAGCCGTTAATGAGAAAGATAAGACTAGCGAGGAAGCACTGTCCCAATTTACAGTCGTACGCCTGCAGAACCATCCTCGCCGTCACCTCATCTGGACTGTCCACCATGCTCTAGTAGACAGATGGTCCGAGTCACTCATTGCCAGCTCAGTTGAGCAAGCATATCTTAAGCAGCCTGCCACAGAAAGGCCTCCAGGATTCAACACGTTCATCAGGCACATTAAACAGCAGAGCAAGGAAGCTTCGAAAGCCTTCTGGGAGTGGAACCTGACCGATGCCCCATCATCGAGCTTTCCGCGCCTTCCTCACCCAACCTATATCCCCAAGGTGCAAAAGTCACACCAAGTTGTTCGAGTATCATTCCAAGAGACTTCGAGCTCAACCAAGTGCTTGCACCCATCATCACTAAAAAGAGGTTCAATAACAACAGCTACTATAATCCAAGCAGCTTGGTCGCTCATTCTCAGTATATATTCCAATTCCTCAGACGTCGTCACCGGACTGACTCTAAACGGTCGCTCGTTAAGCTTGCCTGGTATTGAGGCCATTCCGGGACCGACATTCACGACCGTCCCTTTCAGAACTCGGATCTCGCCTGATAAGTGCATACTGGACTTTCTCTCGGATATACAGAACAACTACGTCGATATTCTCCCCTTTTCTCAATTTGGGCTTCAGAATATTCGGCAACTGAGCGACGATGCAAATGCAGCTTGTGGGTTTCGGAGCCTCTTGCTTATCCAAACATCCACTCGTGCCCGGGACTCACCGAATGTCCTGAAACGGAATGAACTCGCTTTCCCCCACATGGAGTTCGGAATCGTTATGGAATGTGAGCTTTTAGATGGCGGAATTGATCTCCGCGCATCGTTCGATCCAAAACTGTTATCCTTACAGGAGGTCCAGCAGGTGTGCAGGCAGATGAATGATATCCTGCAGAGGTTATATCTAAGGGAATCATCTACGACTGTCTCTGAGCTGCAAAAAATCACATCAAACGACCGAATGCAAATTCTGCAATGGAACAACATGGGAGTATATCCACCTGTTTCAACATCATGCATTCACAAGCTTTTCAGCAAGCGAGCGCAGCAGCAAGGAAGCTCTCAAGCCATCTGTGCATGGGATGGACAACTAACCTACAATTCTCTTGATTTGTATTCTTCGAACTTGGCTAAACATCTGCGAATGCAATACGGTGTTGGACCAGAATCCACTGTGATTGTTTATTTCGATAAATCGCTCTGGGCGGTTGTTTCCATGCTTGCGGTTCTCAAAGCGGGAGGCTGCTTCGTCCCTGTCAATCCTGCCGACCCGGCTGGGCGTATCAAGACAGTAATTGCAAAGCTTGGAAAGCCGTATTCAAACGTGATTCTTACATCCTTGTGTTATACTGAGCGCCTTAAGCAGCTTGGGTTAAAGGCCCTGACTGTTGATGGCCACACCATCGATGCTGTTCCGAAATCAGACTTTATGAGCAACGACGTCGCTCCGAGCAATGCTGCATTTATTGTCTTCACGTCCGGAAGTACGGGAACTCCTAAAGGTATAGTGGTTGAGCATAAAGCGTTCTGCTCCGGTGCTCTGGCTTGGGGACCTTTGCTCAAGCGCAACGAGCAGTCGCGTGTGCTTCAATTTGCATCTTACAGTTTCGATGTGAGTTTGGGAGATATATTTTCCACCCTCATATTCGGTGGGTGCGTATGCATTCCCTCGGAGTATGACCGAATGAACAATCTCAAAGGAGCAATCCAGTCGCTTGGCGCGAATCAGCTCTCTCTGACTCCGACGGTAGCAAGTTATCTGCGGCCCGAAGAGCTGCCGAATGTAACTGTTTTAGCCGTGGCCGGTGAAGTCATGACGAAAGAGGTCGTAAAGATATGGGCCAACCATGTCAACCTAGTGAACATATACGGACCTGCGGAGTGCGCTGTATACAGTGCCGGCAAGGCGGGGTTTCAAAGTCAAGAAGATCCCAGCAACATTGGATGGGCAGCTGGGTGTCTCTCATGGATCGTCAATCCAGAGGATCCGGACAGCTTGACTCCTATCGGGGGCATTGGGGAGCTTTTGATTGAAGGTCCTAATCTCGCACGCGGTTATCTTGGAGACGACGCCCAGACACGTGCGGCATTTATCGAGGATCCGATCTGGTCCAGAAAGAACGGGCAAAGAAAGGGTCGACGATTTTACAGAACCGGGGATCTGGCGCGTTACGGCGCCGACGGCTCTTTACTGTTCATAGGCCGCAACGATGGCCAGGTCAAATTGCATGGCCAGCGTCTCGAGGTCACGGAGGTTGAACATCAACTGCGCCAGAATATCCCAGATTCTGTGAAGGTGGCAGTGACAGTCATAAGTTCCGAGGATGGTGAGCAGCTTCTAGCTGCGTTTCTCGCATTGCAAAGTGATAAAGCGGGGTGCCCAAATACCGCACTTGCCGACTCTGCAGAGAATTTGAAATATTTCCAAAGCTTCATAGAAAGTGCAGATTCAAGGCTGCGGTCTATACTGCCGAGATACATGATCCCTTCGGTATGTCACATTTCTGTAAATCTTACATTGCTCGACTAATATTATCCCGTAGGTATACATACCTGTCAACTCTCTCCCGCTTTCAGCATCCGCCAAAATCGACCGCAAAGCTCTTCACAATTTATCATCCAAGCACTCCATGGCATATCTTTCCAGCCTACGAGGTGATAAAGCAAGCACCAAAACCTCTATTCCACCTTCCACAAGAATGGAATGGCGTATCCACGACCTCTGGAGGGCTCTATTCAACGTCGAGCACATCAGTGTTGACGACAGCTTTTTCGCCCTCGGAGGCAGCAGTATCCTTGCCATGCGACTGGTCTCAATGGCACGAAAGGAGGGCATTACAATGACCGTCTATGATATATTCCATTGTACAACGCTCCGAGATCTGGCCCTGACAGTGCAGGACAGCGCCAGTAACGTTGAACTCCCACCATTCTCATTACTGCAGGGAGTAGGTATTGAGGAACTCCGCTGTCAAACAGTCAAGCAATGCAGAATCAACGATCTTGACGACATTGAGGACATCTATCCCTGTACCCGAATGCAACTCCACTACGTGACAGGCTACCCCGAGGCAAACAAAGACCCATCAGGACCATGGGACTGGCAATCCCAGGCCATATTCACGCTCTCGCCGTCGATGGACCTTTCCAAGCTCAAGGCAGTCTGGAACGCCGCCATCCGCCGCCATCCCACTCTCCGTTCCCGTCTCATCCGCACCGGTTCTGGAATCTTTCAGGCGGTGATAAAAGAAGACGGTCAAGAAATGTGGCATGAAAGCCATAATCTTCAAAACTACCTCCGATCTGACCGAAGCACACCCATGAGATTCGGCGACAGACTTGTCCGTCTCGCCCTCATCACCACCAGTCCAGACACTACTCCAGAGCACTACTTTGTCCTCAGCGCCCACCACTCAATCTATGACGGCTTCTCACGAAGCATGCTCTTCTCAGAACTACGAATAGCCTATACAAACGGCGTCAATGTGGATGGGCCCCTCCCCAAAATGACCCAGTTCGTCAAATACATCACCCAGACCGCCGACAAACCCGCCGCCACGGCGTTCTGGACATCCTATCTCTCTACCGCAAAGACAAAAGCCCTCCTCACGATCCGCGGCAACCCCCCACCCCACGATCTCCGCCAAACCGACCAAAAGCTCACCCAGCCCCTACCCCGGCTGCCCCCGTCCGAGATCACCCTACCCACGATCCTCGAAGTAGCCAGCGGCCTCGCAATCGCAACCCACCTGGACACAGAGGACGTAATCTTCTACTCGGACCGCTCAGGTCGCAACCACCCTGTCGAAGGTATCCAAGATCTCATTGGTCCTACGACTCTCTTCCTCCCCATCCGAATCCACCTCGACAAGGCCCAAACAGTTCACGACCTCCTCCACTCTTCACAGCGCTTCCAAGCGGCTATGATCCCATACGAGCACGTCGGCTGGCTCGAACTGCGAGAAATGGAGCATCTCAAACCCATCCTTCGACATTCTCTGAATATGAACGTCAAGCCGCAGAATGTGGTATCGTTGGATTGGGGTCAGGATCTCCAATTCCAGAGCTCCTACGCTAGTTGCGACGATCCCTTCGGGATCGAGGTCACTTTGTTGGAAGGGGAGATCGAATGGAGGATATACTATGACGAGCGGTTTATTACGTCAGATACTGTGGCGAAATTGTTGAGTGATCTTACAAGAGTGTTTAAGGAAGTGGTGACTGCGAGTGTGCGGGGAAGATCAGAGTTGACAGTTGGGGAGATGATGGGATGTCTTTAAAAGAAATGAATCAGGTTGGGTTTCTGGCCTGATTGATCTGACTCTCTGAGGGATACCGAAGTTGAAATGAAATGAAGAAATACCATGCAGTATAGTAAAGGAACTATAACTAAGCAGAGTGTCTATGTAACTGGAAACACTCTTACCCTCTATCCCAAATGAAACTCATGATCGAGTTTAGACCCTGAAATTAAACCTAGTTGATAATGAAGACTAGGTATAATTAGTTAGTCATGATAGTAAAAACCTCTATTACTATCTAATACAGTGACTATAGTAGACTTCCTGTAGAGTTCCCCGTCTTATTCCTACAGAGATTTGCTAAATATATAAGCAGTCTCCTCTAAGTGGCTAATAGGATGGAGGATTACATGAAAGGTATTAATCTCTATGATTGACCCCCTTGCGTTCCACCCAGTTCCCGTTCATTGCCGAAAGCAGCGTAAAGAGAAGGAGTCAGCGACGTATCAAGATCCCCAATGCTCAGAGTGTCCACCATTGACCCAACTTCGGATACATATCCAACTCCTTCATGGCCAATACCGACTGGAAGAACTTGACCTTCCATTGTACCACGATATATATGCAAATCAGACCCGCAGATGCCTGCCCTTGACATCCGAACGATTACATCTGTCTGGTTTATAATGCTTGGCTTCGGCACGTCAAGGACAGAAATATTAAAGGGCTGTCCTTGTCAAATTGGATAGCGCCATATCAAAGGAAGCAAAAAAAAAAAAAAAAAAAAAAGAAAGCCACACAGTTCACTGGATCGAAAGAAATGAGTTTATTAAGCACTGTGGAATTTGAAGGTCGGTTGTAAGTCAGATGCCCGCACCTGGGCGAGCTTCTGAAATATGCCCTAATGTTTGCGGAGCCGGTACCTTTCCTAATCTTTAAAGTGCCAAACCAGATACCGCCTGAAATTTTTACTATACTGTACCACTGAGCGCCGGGGCACGTTTTGGGTAGCGGAGCTGCAACACTCAAGCTAACATAAATCACGAATGGCGTCCGGAAACACTACCCTGTATCGGCGGAAAACCCCTCTCCAGAAGCCCCTGGCTAACTTCAATTATTGACTTCTCTATGCCGTCGCAATTATTGGTCTGTATCCTCAGCACGATAGGCAGGCACGGAGCCTAGAATGGTGGGCCCCTCTCGGTGTCTGCTGCCGCTCGCGGATTCGCCGGTTGGCCGCGTCAACAGGCAGTCGGGTGAATCTTCAGGTCACCGCCTGGTGAGTTTGATAGGTCATTGCAGTTTCTCCAGTTTGTGAGGGACTTGGCTCCACCCATACGCCGGGACTTGTTACTCGTCCACGAAGTACTTATACAACTTATCGGTACGTTGATTGCCTCGCCTCTCGGTAAGCCTTCTGTTGACCCGCGCACGTTTTATTCCCCTCCCTGAGACTTTCCCCATCGTCGTCGGGCAGTCTGTTAGTCGCCACATGCATCTGCTCTGAGCTCTTCCCAGCTGGGTATCTGTGGGCTCCGCTAGGCTCGTATTATAGAGTGTAAAATGATTCTTCTCGGCTTTTGGGCTCAAGTGTCTGATTATCTTACATATGACAGAATAAATCAGTATTATGGACTCAGGACTCGCCGGACAAACTCTCCTGCCAGGCACGCAGCTTTCTCGCTTTCCGCTTTGAACCCGTTGATATAGGAACTCTCGACTACATCATGGTATGCACGCTCTGCCACCATTAGGGAAATATCGCATCCGACCTGTCGCATTTCTTCGGTCCACTCAATCACCTCGTCGTACAATAACTCGAGAGCACCGACATGTGTCCATATTTTGGTTTTCGTCTTGAAAGGCCTGTGCAGCAAGGTCACGTACTCACTGTCCCTGTCGACAGAGGCCAACGGAGCGAACGCGGCAACAGCCCACTCAGCGAATGATGCCGGTAAGTAGTCAGTGTGATAGCGAGGGCGAGAGGCAACATCGGATGCAAATGCTGCACCAGCAACATCAAACCAAGGAGACCAGAGGAGGGCGCACGATGGCGCTTGGATACTAGGTTTCACTATACCTGGCGCAAGGAACTCGTCGATATAGTGTAGAAGGGAAACAACCAAGTGGCCACCCGCACTGTCGCCACTAAGCACAATATGTTGTGGTTGCACACCTTGGTCCAACAGGAACAAGTATGCTGATAATCCGTCCTGTAAAGCTGCTGGAAACCGGCCATCTGGAGTGCAGGACAGACGGTATTCGGCGAACAACGCGAAGGGCGTGACGTATCGCGTTAGAATATTTGCCATGTGCCCACTATCCAAGGGTCGCCCACTGCCGATGACATAGCCGCCGCCGTGGAAGTGCAACAGGATACCTCCACCTTCGCGAGCAGTATCTCTTAGGGACGTCGACTTAGGGGGCGCTGCTGGATACCACGTCCCACTCACGGTGGTCGGATGTATCTCAGGATCAGAAAGCGGCCCCCTGTAGAGACAACTGTTCGAAGCGGGTGGAATAGAAACGACACGTTCTCCGAGCACGCCAGGAGACAGTGGAAGGTTCGTAACAAGCCGTATGCGAGTATAGAATGCCATTAAGTCAAAAAGAAGCCGCCTCCCAAGGGCCTGCTGCCAGGTGAAGCCTGCGTGTGGGCGCGTACATCGCAGGATGTAATAAAGAGATAGAGGAATGAGACCCAGAATTTGCAGAATTAGGACAGAAAAACATGCAGCGCTATGAAGCGTACGGAAAAGAGACATCACGGATTGGCTGGGACACGTTATCGAGTGATGGTGACAGATTGCGAGAACCCGTTAGGTGGCTGGGCAGCCTTGCGACCGTTTTGACTTGTTTGCATATTCATCTCGTGCCCTGCCAGGTGGAAGCAATCAAGACGAAGCATATTCCATAGTCGCACAATGTTACGGACTATTTCGCCCACTGAAACTTGTCAATAGCATCAGTAGTCCTTCCGACAAACCTCACCATATATATATATTAATGTTTTTTTTTAAAGATCTTGATGCGTGAGGATAAATGCGGGCATGCCGGTATGGTATAAATATATCTCCAAGTAGTTATCTGCAGGTTTCTTGGATACGGGCTGAGTATAGAGTGCTTATCTATAGACTTTGGCAGAATATTGTAGAAATAAGATAGTCTATCCCCAGGGTGACTATGAAGGGAGGTAGGCAATCTGAGATCCAACTTCGAGCCGGAGAGGATCATCACAGTCCAATAAGTGGAGAATTTGTGAGAATTCATAGCGTTTCATTAGCAGCAAATTCGATTCAATCGGATACATCCGGCGCAACGTGCCAACACAGGCCCCATTACGGCGTAGGAAACATGCCAAGTATTTAGAGGCTATTACAGGTGTTTCTACTCCGTATTGTTCTTCTTATTGATTCAAGCTAGACGTTCTAGACCACTGATAACCCCACCGCAAACTTAAAGCGGAATTGTTCCCCGTGGGTAAGTCACTGTTCATGAATCCGATACGAAAACCCTAGCCTCCAGCTCTTCACTTCAAAATGGCAGCGAATGAAGCCACCCGAACAAGCGAAGAGATCTTGAATTATACATTCAATTGAAAAGAGCTCCTGTTGGACCCGCTGAGTCTGACAGGCACCGTCAGCGACTTCCGCAGATACCGGTTCTGGGCCAGTCCCATAATTTTCCGGTTGGTCGTCATGAGAGGGTTTGACCCACCAATGCGGCACCCTCGGCAACGGAATATGCTTATATTGAGAACGTGGAGACATCCATCGTGTTCTCCGCTGTGTTGAAGACTACCCGGAGTCCTGGCTCTACCTTGGCCTCGTTGTGAGAGAACATTTTAAACACTAGCAAAGAATGCGTCAGTAGGGCCATGCATGAGACGACACACCAAGACAAGGGAAATGGAAATGGCAAACCCACCGCCATCGGCCCCTTGAACTCCGATGGTACACTCAGCACCTTTGTCCACAGCATCATAGTACTGATAAGTGACAATATTCGGGTGCGCCTCGTCAATCCGCAAGTTAAAGTGAAAGTATTGATCTTCCTTTGAGAACCGTGTCACATACCATTCCACCGTGAGAGATCTCGACCCGGGCTCTCCGACAATCTCATAATAGATCCCGTGTGGCTTTCCCTCGCAGATCTTCAAATCGGTCCAGAAGGGAAACATTGAGTATGCGGGAATCTGATCGTAGAAGGGAAGAACCTGTCCTGTTCGCTGTTCCCTGTTTGTTCCGCCGGCCGAATCCAAACTGAGGATGCCATTGTCCGTCACGAAGATGTTGTTGGTGCAATGATTGAAGAGGCTGACAGCAAATGGCAGCTCAAGTGGGTACCACCGGTCATCAATGTTCTCAACTGCGCCCCTTAAACTGCCCACAATCGCGATTGGGTTCGTTAGAGTCTAATTGAGACTGTATTAGTAAACCGAAAAGGTGGAACGACATCACCAAGCTGGAATAAACTGTCCATACCACTGTATTATCGAGAATCGGTTGTGCGTCTTCTTCAGCTTGTTCTTCCCTTTCCCTGGCTCTCGCCTGAAGTTCTTCGAGGAGCTTCTTCTGCGTCGCCAGCATATCATCGAGATAAACTTTCACCATGATGCTGTGGGTCCCTTCTTTAATTTGGAGAAGGGAATTCTCGGCCTCATGAACAGCAGTCAATCGCTCCTGGATGGCCACCGCAGAAGAAGCAGCGTCGACAATTTCTCCATGTTCAGCAAGCGTGGTCACCTTGTCGGCGAGTTGCTGAACCTTTCCGAATTCATCTTCTGCCTTCGACAGGCCGACCAATATGTCCTTGGTGAGGTCCGTGAGATCCTTTCCAGCTTGGACAGCACTCTCTACATTCTGGGCTAACAGGTTGAAGGCACCGGGTTGCCGGTCAAAGACCTCAGTAATTTGGGTCTGGACCAGATAGATTTCCTTTACCACTTTCAACACACGCCACTCGTACTCAGATGCTGCAGTGGCATATTCCTGACTGCGATCCAGAGCTATTTTAGCCTGGGCCCTGAGCTCGCTCATATCTGCAGTGACTTGTCGGACGTATTGGCGGTACTTCAACAGGATAAGCTGCCACGATATCAAGCCGAGAATGCCGAGCCAGAGGACCGGGAAGAAGAAAAGGGTGATTAGGACAAGAGTAATAGTGTGCCCGCCGGTGAAGCCGTCGAGCCAAGTGGTGAGAGGCTGCCATTCCAGGTATGCATATCGTAGCTGCCAGGAGACATTTGTAGATTGACTGGCTGCGACGAGCAAGACCATTGCCACGAACAACGGCACAGAGAACAGAGACTCAGCCGAAGAAGCATCTGACCCTTTCCAGCCACAGCTGGCGGCGAGTTTCGGGTATGCCAGAGCCAGGATAACCAAAGCGGCAACTGGAAGCGTACCACTTTAATCAGCAGAACGACTTGACTGCACGCGGGGAATATTTACCCTTGTATTTCTCTACAAACCGAAGAATCTTCTCCAAAGCCCCGAGTGTTTCCACAAGTGATGCTCTTGTGTCCGGTTCGTTCGCATTGTTACTGGATGGATTCGTCCCCATAGTGGGCAAGCTGCTTCTGTAGCTAAAATTTCTGCGTCTCGAGTTAAGCAAGAAGAATCGACGTTGAGAAAGGAGAATGAACAAAGGTCTGGTGGTCACGACTGCGCGGTGATCAGGCCTTATAAGTACACGCAAGGCAAACAAATACTCACTCGTTGTGGACTGAGAATAACCCATCCTGGTGCAGCCGGATTTCCATCTAGTCTCCTGCTCAGGTCCGTAAGAGTGGAATCGTAGCGCTCCCTGCTGCGACTCTTGGCTTAGTACATGGTTACCTGCAAGTGCGGAACGGGGACACCGGTTGAAAGCTAATATGATAGCTAAGATAGGCCCGACAAGACCGGAGTAACACTACTGGCTCCGCTGGCTTCAGGCTGCTATGCACGACTTCCCAACTAGTGTTAAATATTTAAGGTCAGCCTGGAACCTAGACGGTCTCGCCGAAGCTTAGCGGGCTATTGAGATCATTGGGATGGAAGCGAGAAGTTTTGATGCAATCTAATAAAGCATGAAATAGTGCACCAGCTCAGCCACTATGGTATTATCAAACTACAAATAGCGCTAGGAAGAGGATCGGGCCCTCCACACAAGGGACATGCATATGACAGTCACAAAGCGGGGTAATCTAACATGAGTGCTTGCATGGAGCAGGGAGGCGTCAATTCTTCAGCTGAACTCTTCTGTAGAATTATTCTGTCATTGGTGATAGCGGTCACTTCTTAACTAGTCCATTGTATTCTAGGAAATTGCCCATGACTCGTTGTCAAACCTGCTCGCTTATTGCACAAGCACAAAGTCCTTGACTTTCATAAAATGAGTAAACGATGAGCCACCTGGGGTTCTCGCTAACCTTCGCACGGAGGTCGTATACCAGCACTTGCGAAGATGTTTTACACAAAGGGCCTCTGCGCTGAAAATGCTATCTCATAAACAACAACCCTTTTTATTCCTTTGCAAGTGTACAGAGATTAGTTGACCCAGCCATAGGAGAGCTAGAGTCATATGTTGACAACGGAGAAGTCCTCGACTCCTCGTATCTGCAGGCAGCCACTGGGACAGCGTGAAATATGAGATTTTCTGGCTGGCCAGAAATTACTGGGGTACTACTCCAGTTATGGCAGAAAGGGTTGATCATGAAAGAATCTCTTGACGCTCCGCTTGCCCTTCGCCCACCTCTCGACTCGAAAAGAGCTCGCCGATGAATGGCCACAGGCAAATGTCAATATGTAGAACAAGCTTGGACTTCATGACTACGAGCGGAGCTAACGCTTTAGACCCGGCTGTAGGTTTGACAAACTGCATTCTTATACCTTGTTCAGCTGAACTTGCATATGTACAGGCAGCCACTGGTGGCGACGGTAATTCCCTGACATTATGGCCATTCTGATGAACAGGCGGCTGTTGAGCTATTCCCACATCCATGCTTATCCAATCTGCAGCATTCCCGGAGTGGCCGAGTTGTCTGACAAATGACAGGAGACACATGTTGACTCGATGCAGATAAGAGAATGTGTCTCAGCTGATGCTAGGAGACACACCATGATGAAAGAAGGTGAACCATAGCGATTAAAATCCTATCTAATCTGTTCAGCCAGCCACACTATTATGAACATCCTTGTATTAATGCCAATCAAAATATGCCCGACCATTACTGCGTATCCCATGTAGAGATAGATCCTGAATTATCAATTGAAGGTCCATCTTATTTAAGGGAATCAAGTATCAAAACCATCTCAACTATCTGTTTCTCTTAGTCTGCTCTGTATTTGCCATCTGCTCTCAATCCTCAACTTCTCGTGTTTTCGCTTCCCAGCTGCTGCGCTGATTATTCTTGCTTGATATTCGACAGCCCGACACAATGGCAATTGATCAAGGCCAGAAGAAGACTAATCCTAGTCCTTATGACCAAGTCATTGTTATGAGCCAGAGATTTATCAATGCCTCTTTTGCAAGAATGTGGCAAGAGGCGCCGTACGATGACCCCCTCAAGCTGTTTGAACGTACCGGTCCTCGCACACAAGACATGGTCAAAGTTACCTTTGAGCCCCCTCAGATCTTTATTCCTGCCTTCGACAGGGATTACCCTGGTCAGGTATATCTCCGGATGAAAGTTTTACGCGGCAGGATCTATCTCTATTCAAATTCGACAAACCAATACCCGGATCCTTTTGACATGGATGGATGGGACCTATATTTCAAGATGAGAATCAGTAAGCATCCTATCCGCAGTAGTTACATTATCAGCCCTCTTTTCTGCGAATTATTTCCGGCTTATGATGTCTGATGAGCGAGCTAGGGCACAAGAATAGCAATCGTAACGACGCTAAGTATAGAGACTACCAAAATCAGTCAGGGTTTACGGGCGCTATTTTCGAACTGACCCAGCTATATATGGGTCTATCTGGTAAGTGGTACGCCACTATTTGAGATTCCTTCAGCATTTAATGGCCGATCCCCAACCTCGACCGCCTACACTGAGCTAAGTTGATCGGGGAAACCGTGAACAGATCCGTCAAATCCGGACGAGGCATTCGACGACAGGAAGAGCACGTATGCCGCCACGGTCCTTACTCAAAATGCTAAAGAAAATCTCAAAAAGGTCATGGCGGACTGGGTGAAGAGTGCTGGGCTTGAGAAACCCAGAGTTAATCTTCTCGGATACGTCTTTACAAGCCAACAACCCCAAACCTGTGAGTAGCGATCCAGACGATCCCAGGATTTGAGTCTACTGGTTGACCTCTCTAATGACAGTGCCTGGGGCGGAAAGCTCGCTTGTTCCAAAAATAATAGACTACAATGTCTATCCCTGGAGAGGACCTGACGGCTCCGAAACGGAAAGGGATGGGATTGATGAGAATGCTTTGTGCATACTGGTCACAACAGGATCTCACCAGGCACCATATCCTCCTGGAATCAACTACTCCGGTCCATTTGTTGAAAGAGGAGCAACTCTCTGTATCAATGCGAACTGCTTCTGGGAAGACTGGATCCTTCGAGACTTCCAAACAGTTGCCAGAGACACTGAGATTATTGTCGATAGGCCACCACTGTCCATGGGAGTACCCGGTAAATGGAACATTGGTGTCAAATATCATTTTGGATCCAAAGAGACTCCAAGCAGCTTCCGCTTTCAACGCCATGTTACAAATGGAAGGACCAGCTGGGCATGGGCAGGGAAATTGCATAAAACTCGGAGCAACACTGTGAACCTTAAACTTGGGGGCGGGAAGCTATATCCTATGGTGATTGACGAAACTTGTGTGTTCCGTACCCTAAGCCTTCTGCCGAGAAGTAGACATGCATGCTAACCCTTGAATTATCGAAGCACAATCGTGGATTACCATTGAGCCCGACAGTGGCGATGAGCGCATGTTCTCAATCAAGGGACGACACGTCTTCTACCATGCATTGCTCTGGAACAAGGACAAGAAATATTCGTAAGTGCAAACTTTTCTCCCTTGCTCTTTTCCTCGATGCAAGCAAGAGTATTTCCCGCGGATTCTACTGACTGGCCGAATGTACAGGCAATGGGTTACGCTCATTGCAGACTGGCATATCAATTTCAAACTCCAGGCCATCAACGACGGAGGCCTAGAAATCGCCCCTCAGTTGAGGGACAGATCCTGGCTCACAATTCAAACCAAGAAAGGGACCATCATTCGTACCAATGAAGGCTACCTCAAGAACAAGGCCACAACAATGGAGAGCGAGTTGCGCAAGCGTCTGGAACACGCAGTGTCCCAAATTTCTAAGAAGCTCAACCAGGCTTTCCAGGTGCAACACAAGTTTATTATGCCAGCATCAGGAGTGTTCGCAATGAGGTACCCCAAGTTCAACAACCGCGGAGATCTTCTGGTTGAACTCGAATATCTCGAGTAAGTCTGCCATCCATTGCACAGTGATGCTCTTTTGGGAAGATGCTACTTCCTGTGACCATAATAAAGACGTCTATCGCTAAGTTCCTTACAGCTTCAGTGCACCAAACTCGAGGGCTGTTGTCCCCACGGAACATGTGGTGGATAATACACAGGAATCTGACCACTTTCCTTTCCACAAAATTCCGTCCATCTCACAGGATTATCCTTCACGCCAGCCAGTTGACCATGACCATCACTGTCTGACCAGAGAGCATTTTCAAGATGATGTATACGACGAGTATCATATTGACGAAGATGAGTTCCATGGGGATCACCACTACCATCCAGGCGAGCATGACGATGAACATGAGGACCATCGACCTGATTCGTTCAAGCATACTGAGCGTAATTGGCCTGAACCAGGCGACTCTCCTTTTCATTCTGACAATGAGCCTGACAGTCATAAGCCCCCAGACAAGAAGACTGATGGTCATACCCCAGATGAGCGCGCTGATCCAGATGACCATTCTAGGCCACACCGTCGCCCACAACCAGGCCGTACAGGGCATAAAGATTATGCAAATGATGATGACGATTATTATTGATCTTTTATAACCACCCAACAGGAATAGCTGAAGCTATAGTGACTAATGAGTCCTGGCTTTTGACACTGTTGGCACCGTCACATGCAATGTAAGAGCAGGGAACCTAATTTGCTTATTATGTTATTCCATATCTCAATGTATAGGACCATAGGAGTAGCAAGGAAAGTCTTCTAGTACTAGTATAATCTTTTTTTTTCCCCTTTCATGAACACCATGTTTGCCTCGCTGTGCGACATAGGCTCTAAACTTCACAATAACTCTGGAGATATCTTCGCGATATTCAGACTGTCCAATTCGAGATAGTTTTACTAGAGTTAACTTCTTATTGAAACTATCTGGATCAGGCACTCAAATTGGAGCCAAGCAAACAGATTTAACTATGCTCCACGTCCACGAATTGAGTGGTATAGTGGTCTTCTTCTGCTCTGTGCTAGAGATATATTAATGGGACTGATGGCCAATTGGCCGTAGGAAAGCATAGACTAAGATAAGCAAGGCTAAGCAACAAGTTAAGGAAATCAACGTAAAGCAATGCATACGGAAGACGAAAGGGGGATGGATTATGGAGGGAAACTGGGGAGAATTATGATGAAATCTCGCATACTAGAACAACGAGACGCAATATTGTATGAGGGCTTCCAGGACTTTTCAATCTACTTTGCATTTTTCCTTAATCTGACATTAGAAAACGCTCAACCATGGGTGTTATCGACACTGAGTCCGAGGCGGTCAACCGGCCTCAAAGACTTCTCGCAACTGTCGTCAATTCTCTTGCCATTGAATGCCCTATGCGGCGATTTCAATACAATCCTGAATCTATTACACAGCTGCAGACAGTGAAAGCATCCCGGATCATCCAGTCCGACTCACTCCAAGCCGATAGATAACTAACCACATTCTCTGGCTTTACCCACAGTCCCAAGCACTCTGTTCCATCGCCATCCTCACACGATGCACGACCAACGAACAGCCCCTCGCCGGCCGCCGAGGCAAGTAGCCAGTCGACCTATCGAGAGATGCTTTCACAGCTCTGCCTTTTCGAATACATCCGCTGCTCGTGTTCCACTCTGGATAAAGAGCGGGTCGTTGTTGCCCCCCCAACCAAGGCCTCTACCGGTAGGATGCTCGCTGTCATCATAATGGTCTCCGAATAATCCAGCAAGATCTCCAGCGGCTAAAGCCACTTCCTGTTCTTCTTCGTGACAACCGTTTTGGATCTCATCGTGGTTGAAAACCTTTTTGATCCATTTCATGGCCCAAGTAGTGCCAGCAAAAAGAGTGCCACCATGGCCCAGTCCCGTCCATTTCACCAGGAAGACAGAGGTCCCATGTTCACAAAACTTTTCCTTCAGTGCTTTTGTGTCTTTATACGGAGCTGTAATGATGTCCGCTGTGCCCTGATAGATATAAAGAGGAAACTTGGGTGCCGTCTCGTCCGTGATACGGTTTCCCATAACGCCAATTTCCGTAAGATTCGACTCGAACCTCGTCAGGAATTCGTCCCCGCTTTCGAACCAATTGTTGATATTGGCCCAAGTAGGGATCTTCGGGGGTTTATCCTCAGGCTCGCTGCAACGCTGACGAGCCCCGAGGAATTTCTCACGGTGTTCAACTTTCAGATCTCCATCCATCCAGTTATTGATGTCATCAATGGCATTCATCACACCGAGCATGGCCCAAACATTCAACGTCGAAAGGATTCCATTGACATTTTTGTACGTTTTCATGATATTCGGTGGAGGTCCGCCGATCGCAGCTCCGATTATATTAACGTCCATTGCGTAGTCATGATGGAACTCAACAGCCCATTCCGACGCATATCCGCCGCCGGAGTAGCCAAACAAGACAGACTCCGCGTCCTTGTCGATACCCGTAATATCTCCGGATCGCATCGCAGCGCGGATCGAATCCAGGGTCTGATAGGCGCTCTGGGGGCCTACAGTAAATGCGGCGTTGGATCCTTCATAGTCGGGGATATTCAGAACCGGCGATCCGGCGTCGGCCAGAGCCTCGGCGACAAAGATCATTTGGTTAAGAGACCACCCAGCCGCAGCCTTATTAGCACCTTTCTGCAACCCGTAGGAGGGAGAGCAGTTGATGTCGGGCGCATCGTAAGCAATCTGGTAGGACAGGATCCGGCTGGTGTTGGCTCCTTCCGGGACGATAATCGTTGTGACAGATGTGGCCTTCTCTTCGTGCAGGTTCTGCGTTACGTAGAGTAGTTGGAAGGCCTCGAACTCGATATCACCACCTGGTAAGACAGGCAGATCGATAGTTACCTTGCGATAATCGAGAACTGTGCCTACGTCCTCGTCGGTCCAGTTGGAGGCTTTTGGTGTGTAGAAGCTATCTCGCGATGGGAGTTCGGGAACATCTTCTGATGCAAGGGCAGGAGGCCCAAGCACCAGGATTGCGAAACACCATGTCAAGCTCCTCATAATGTCCGAGTTCAAAAGTGTGGGAGGTAGCTCTTCTTCGAGAACCGGCTATTGGGGCACGTACCTCTATTTAAATCATCCACCCGAGCTTGGAACTCATAGCTGGAACCAGAAGTGAGGGTTAAATTCTCCAACACGGTGGATCTCAGGTAAAGGTCTCGTGCATAGTCAGCTCTCGAACCAGTTCTTAGGATGTGGCCCCTTGTTATTACTGCTACATTTTTGAGACACGGGTTTCCGGCCGAACGCGAAATAGACTGCCTCCATATATGCAAAGGCGTGCAGAGCCAATGATATGCAAAGCAGCGTCGCACCAGCTGTCTGTACGACATAGATCCAATTGCGTGGTAGCCTATAGGAGGTGAATGTTTATCCTTCCTGGCATTCGAACAAGGAATGCAGGCATTCCGAGTCCACCCAGGATACCACATTCAATAGACTCCGGGGATAGCGTTCCAGATGAGGACCGACATACATATCTCCGCATTCAGGTCTTGACACAGTCGTATTGCAGAGCCCAACAAAGCAGAAGCTTCCTCTTTGTAGTCAAATATATAATTCTAATCCGGTGAGAGACAGGTTTGGAGTCATTGCTCACATCTACGAGAGAAAAATAGTGACAATTCCTTGGTGTTCTTTTCTTTACTCTTGTTGAGGCTCGCTCAGCTCAGAAGACTATTTATCAAGTGGGTTTAGCTGGAATAATGGCTAGTTGATCACAGCTATTGAGAGGAATCTTCGAGTTTAATCTCAACAGCTTCTTCAGAATTTAACCCCAGTATAACTTACTGGAGCGGTACTACAGTAGTGGGGGTGCGAAAGTATTTGACCCTCTGGAGAAATAACCTGGGGTCAAAGGCTCTTGAAATCCCACCTTCCCCCACCCCCCAAAAACAACAACACTGTAGCCAAAGAGCGCAGCATTCCTGACCAGGTTGGCACAGAAATATATGAGCGCCATTAGTCACCTTATTTCCTTAATTACAGGGCCATATGACTGTGACCGGCCCTGCAAGCACCCTAGCGACTGAATTAGTCACAGAAAGCTGTGGAAGCAGTATTTGTTGCTAGGAATATATGCAGAGATACACTCTTAAACTTCCAAATATGAGATATGTGCTAATTACGAGTCGCCCCATGCCGAACCAAATGTAAGGGGTGGCGCCCACATACAGAGATGGGAATTACAGGTTGCGTGCCCCTTGGTCCACCAAGTTTTCACTATGTTGTATGTAAAAGCCTTAGTGTATTTCGATCTGACTACAGGTGACTATGGTAGTATATAAATACTGCTACTGCTACTATTACTGTTAAGTTTGACAGAAATTTGGAGGCCAAGCTATAAATTGCCTCTGAGAGTGCCAATAGTTATATGTATCCGTGTAGTCGTCTCATGATCCTCTGGATGCCTCTGTGCGTATTTGAGAAAGGTCAAGGTACAGTGTATACGAATACAGCAGAAACTGTTTCACAGCGGAAGAAAGCCATCCCTCTCTGGGAAAATGCAGCATTAGTCGTAGCTCCTTCTATCCCATTTCGACAATACAGTATATGCTTCACCAACATTGCGCAGAGTACCATACAGGAGCAGAATCAAAGCCAAGTCAGTAAAATAAGCAGGTATAGACATCACCACTTTTGGATATTCTCCTTCATAAGGTCTAATAGTTGCTTTTCAGAGTTCTGTCTGTTCAGTCACCCTGATCATCATATGGGCTGCAATGCGCTTTTCTAATAGCCATGAGTCCACTGACTGCTTAGAAGGAGGTTCATTTCACCCCACATAACGCGCGACTGCTTGTTATATTAAGCCGCTATTCTTAGAGATAGCCCTGCTCTTAGTAGTAGGAGATAATTAGTACTTTTGTCGCGCAAGCTTTTGTGGGACCTAAGGATAGAAAAGAGCTCTGGTAAAAATACATCTACTCCTTTACTTCTGCGGAAGATACTCCCTTACTGAAGTAATACTATTGCTCTAACTAATGATCCATAATTATCATCAGCCTTATGATGATCGTCCCAAGACAACACCTGGTGGAGGTTAGGATGTGTGTCGGGTAGTGTGGTGGGAGATAATGGTGAGCAAATACGTCGAGGCCAACGAGCCCAAGACGCAGATCTACCATGCCGTCCAGCCGTACAAGACCGAAGAGCTGGTGATCGTTGAAAAGTCGGTACCCTACATTTCAATCGGGGTAATTGTGAGGTTTTCTGACTATCTTTGCTTAGGTACACCGATACCGAGAACCTCAAGGCGCATGCCTCCACCCCGGAGTTCAAGGCCTTTTCGAAGGCCATTGGACCTTGTCTTGTGCAGCCTCCGCAGATGCAGAGGGGTGGGTTTGTTGCTGGGTTCGCGGGTAGATCGAAGCTTTGGGTTACTTAGATTGGGATGGTGAAGGTGTTGATGTTTGTCAAGTCAATCTGCGAATAGACCTGGTATATACATCCTGCGCTTGACCGTGTACAGGTAGAGATAGACATGGGAAGGAGATCTAGGATCTTCACTGCGACTAACAACTACTCCAACGGGCTTGCACAGTCACCCAAGTTCTCTTTCATAAAAAACCTGCGTTGATTCACCTTCCTAAGGCTGATGAAATTCAGATATAGAATCCAAGTAGTAGCTTGTAACTGCATCACACCCTCCAATTCAGTCCTCCTCTACGTGCACCAGGACACCGTCCGGATACTTGGCCCGCTGTATATCCTCAGCCTCCACATCATCCGCCGCCTCGAGACTATCATAAGAAACGGTGAGTATATGGGTAAGCCGGTAACACGAGCCTCAATCCACTTACGTTACCTCGAGAATAGGAGGCGTATGATGGCTAGCATTGATTGGCTTCCTGATGGTGACGTTCTTATCACGGAAGATCTGTTCCACACTGTTGAGGCGTTAGCATCGACTCTGTTCTCGTAGGCTTGTATAGGGGGATAAACCCACGTCGTTTCATCGTCGTTCTGGGCAAAGTCCTCCCATGCCCTTTCGGTTTCGAAGCGGATGCTTGCGGTCTTTCCGGTTACTGTCAGTCGGGGCCGCCGGAGGTCAGTCATCAACTTACCAAGTTATGCATTTCGCTTCAGTTAAGGATGACTTGTGAATTGTTGAATGTTAGTTGGAGCAAGGAGATTGTCAACAGGCTGAGCACGATCCACGGCAGGGGCGAAACTGTTCTATATAACAAGAGGCATGTTAGGGCAGTTGAATACATCATCGGTCGTCATCAATCCGTGTATATGGAATCTGAGTTGTTGAAGCTAAGAATAGAGTTCCATGATTTCGTGGGCCGGAAACCAAGTCCCTCCAAGCCGCACAACCCATAAAACAGTACCCCTCTCGCAAATGCAGTGAAGTCAAGGTTATTCGAGCCCCGCTGAATCGCTGGCTGAATGCGAATTAGTTGCTTCCCGCGCAAGAGCTTTCATTTCTAACCCACTCTCTCCCTCCGCCGTTGAACGCTGTCCGGTGTGAGGGTGATGACTATAATCACTAACAAGAGTGGTAATTATGTTCGTGCGGGGCTTGTGCGGTCGACCTTGCGCGAGACAATAAAGTCTAAGTTCGATCAAAGCTAGATCGAATACACCAATCATCTTCTCCACCTGTAAATTCTCTGATTGGCTGTTGTGTTTCAGGTTCGACACTACAAGATACACTGTAGGGCCACGGCCATGGCTTCTGCATTGATTAAGCACTCGTAGAACAAGTCTCTACCTTTCAATGAAAGTCAGTGAACTGGAAAGGCTCGGTTCAAGGGATATCCTACAACACTAAGCAAAACTATGTGGGGCCGTTTATATCAGCGGCTGTGGCAACTGACATTATTCCACTGCCTTCAAAACATCCTAGCAATTGGTCCAAGTAGAAGCAGTAGATAGTTACAGCATTCGCATTTTTATAATTATTGCCATGAGCGATTTCTAACGAGTACCTTCCATGCCAAGTACTGTACCACGTTTGGTGGAACCGCTCTGTCGCAAATTTCCATTGAGCGTAGAGAACCTGTATCCCGCCTCCTGCTAGTCTTCTGGAATGCGGATACAGAGGATACTGTCCATATCGGGTACCCATGCTTTTAGAATAGAGAGTGCCAGGGGAGCGCTCCAATTGAGCTTGCTAGAGGCATAAAAGCTAATGAAATCTGTGTACCCATGCCGTTTCCCGGATTTATTCGACCATAGAAATGCTTTGATTATACCGGTCCTCTTCGTTTCGTCCTCAGTTATGTAGTGATCCCTTGTTGTAAGATGAACGTGGCTACTGTTCCATGGTAGAACGGTTGTAAGCAATTTACCACGTAATACTTCCCAGCTATCATCTGCTGTATCATCGTCCAATTATGATGATATCTGGAAACTAAAGGTTAACAACATTGGGTAATTCTTTCGAGGGCCGCTGACCCTTTTTGGTGGGGTTGACCGGCTTGGCGGAATCAAGTTTATTTGGCTGAATTTTCCGAGCAGTTGCGGCCAAGTACGCCTGCTCCGGGCTGGAATCTGGGAGTGATCAGGACTTGCTCCTGATTACGCCTGGACTGCTCCGTGAGCGATCCGAGAGCAATCAGCACACGCACCGGGCGTGCCCATGCCACGATTCCCGGCTGATCCCAGAGCGAAAAGCGGCACTGACCTAAGCCTATTCTGGAAATGGAAAGTCGATGCCGTTTCGCAGAAATCCTGTTCAATAGTTGGACTCAATTGGCAGCTCAAGAGCTCATACCACGCTGGTGACTTTGATGGGAGAATCCACGGTCCGCAGTCATCACCTTGGGCTAAGTGGAATCTTTCAGGCGATAGATGCTTGCTTATTGGAGTGTGTTACATTGTTACCTTGCATTCGTCACATACATGATGTCACTCTCAGATGTCCCTATCATAGCCATAGCTGTATCGGAAGGTATACGAGGATATATCAGCATGTGTTCACCTTGTCTGTGTTGAGGAAGACAAGGATTAGTCTAGTCATAAGTTGATCCACTATTGTCTCACTTCCTCTCAACAATCGTTACCAATCCTTCCTTGGCCAACAGGTTTATATATCCTATCTAGTAGATCTTGGCTGGGTGGGTGCCTCCGTCTATCCTTCGCGCTGGAACTAGCCTTGAGATGCCAACACAATACCACGTATAATGTACTCATTTGCGTGAGTAGAGGATGGTCAAACCATGATTATCCATCAGGTGGATTCGGGAGTATTTTCTGTGCGATCAATTGTCAGATAGAGATTTTTTCACCGTCGTCAACATGGAGGTTGCCATTTTCCATTGATTCGCGTATATTGTTACTGCGGAAATCGGAATATTTGCAAAGATGACCAACTGGATCTATGAAGCGAGTGACACTCTTTCCGGTCAGACAAAGGTTGACACCGCTGTTTCCAATCTTATGGGACTTTCAGGCAACTATCGCCAATATAACCAACCGTTGCTATCCTACTTTGAGGAGGAAATAAAGAATATCGCAAAAAATATCCTGGATGTCTCGGAGGACGAGGAAGATTGTGCATTGCTGATTGCAAGAAATTGGCACCGGCAAGCAACCGAGTGCGATGGGACCTTGCACTATCAACGCTATATTGAAGCTTGTCCACCGATCGTATCAGCTTTCGATCAGCTGTGCCTTGATATGCCCAGAGTCGACGATCTTCTAAACTATGGAATGGCGATCTGTGGCGAAGAACATTTCCAGGAAGGCATTTGTCAAGGTGGCATCCGCGCAGCTGAGGCCGGCAGAGAAGAGCAGATGTGGATCCTGCTCTGGTGTGAAATCTTGAGAAACTGCCCTGGGCCTGTTCTGTTTAACCCACTTGCTAGTTTATCATTCAGTTCTTTTGATTTCCATTTGGATGAAATTCCGCGCTATTTATTCCGGACATTTGACCCGAAAAGCTCTGGAAAGAACAATGGCGATGTGGTTGCTTCGCCAGCGAGTGAAAACAGGACCATCAACAGCAAAATCGACATTTTGTCTCTAGAAGATGACTTCGCAACAACCGTTGTGGACTGGCACTTGAACCCGTGGAAGTGTAGAGATGATAGAAGTCAGAACCCTGACAACTTCATGTCATGGACATCTTCTCTTCTATACGCCATCCAATATGCACTCTACAGACGCCATCGTTACGGCTGCACTTCGGAAGATATCAAGATATGTGTGATTGATACAGAGAAGTTCTCACGGGGTCAATTTGTGCACGCCAAGCGTCTTCTCCAAGCCTATTATCAATTTCTCAGGCAAGCCGATATGCGACATTCCTACGATACCCGTCTTCTGTTGTATATTTATGGAAATGGAGAGTACCTATCCCAAGGCGTGCTCAATCACAAAGGACGATCATGTGTAACATCTCTGGCACGTCTCGAAGAAAATGGACTCTCTTCACTGTATCCCGAATTGGCAGATCCGATGGGCCACAGAAAATGGGCAATTCGAACCATACACCTTCGCCATCTGTGGGAAGACCAACACGTAACAACCTATGAAGAGATACAAATGGCCCTTTCGCTTGCGAAAAGCTGTTTCCGGAACATAAAAGAGTTGGATATTGCCACCATGATCCTGACTTTTAAGCACCGTGAGCTTAGGCGTGCAGCTTCTGGCAAGTTTTCAACCTCATGCACGCTATACAGTGCTGACCAATTGCTATAGAGGAAACTGAAGACTGTCATTATTTTCGGAACAATGTGCCTGAATGGGGACGAAAACCACAAGAAGTCCGGCAATACCTTGATGCTTGGCAAATAATTCAAACGAATTTCCAGATTTCCAACGAGCAAACAGCAGAGAAATATAATAATTTAGGTAACCTTACAAGTCCATCACATGAGATAATTCAGGCACTCGTGGGATGCTTTGTTGTTGCCCGGAGTGAAAAATTCTAGATAATATAATAACTAACTAGGCTATATGAAAGACTACAGGCCTAGAAATAATAGAAATTCTAATAATAACTATTAATCAGAATCTAGGAAGTAGAAATACTCCTATTCCCTGTTACGACACCCACACAGCCGCACTAGCAGGGCAGGTATGACAGGCAGAGGACATCACTAAATAATTATTTTATATATTATATAACTACTACCCTAAGAATAGGATTCCTACTGTTGCGACGATATGCTCATTGAGCATGCCGGCCACACATGGAATTCCTGATCGTAGCGTCGTTTGGATGATCAGGCGTGAGGGCAATACTAGTCACCTGCACAATAATCTGAATACCCTCGGTGTGAAACCTCTCCTGCAGCGCGATAGAGTAGTACTGATGCTCTGGGTCCTGAGGTAGTGCACGTTCCGGGGAAAAGAAACTGGCGGGTGGGTGGTGGATTACGTTAAAAATTTTCTACCTGAAGTCGCGCCCCTGTTCCAGAAGAACATTAGCAAGCATTCCATCACCATCTACATGGCTTTAGTGCGGGAGGTTGGGCGGCGGGCTTCGGTCTGTCAACACGTTTACCCCTCAACGGGGTTTCCAGGGGTATTGGCTGCTGAATCTGGAGTTGGGAGCTGCTTTAGCCTTTAGGAGTCACTTTTCCCTTCATCCTAAAAATTATATTAACTATATTATACTATCTCTAAGCTGCGTGTCAATAAAGAAAGGAATCATATGGGAGCAGTAAACTGCTTGAAGCACGGTTTAATGTGCAGTGGCGTCCGTCTATGGGGTTATACATGGAAGACTGAGAGGAGATTCAAACCTTGACCATGAGCTTCCATCCGGTGATCCACCCTCTAAGTAAGATAAAGAGACAGCCGGAAAAGATGGTGAAGACCCCACCAAATACCCAAGTTCTCGTCCAATGCAGATCAGTAGCATCTGCTCCCAGAACCGCACCCGACCCAGGTCCACCCAGGAGCGCACTGCTTGAGGTGATGCCAAAGGCCATGCCAAGTCTCGTCCCGATCTTCGACTTGTCCTTTGTCAACGCAGCAAGACAGACGGGCGGTAACGCGATAAAGACGCCCGAGAAGAAACCGAAAAACGCGGCGACGACGACTACACCGGCGGCACTTTTCACTGCCAGCGTGCAGAAGATCAAGATGCTGCAGACCAGGGCTCCTGGACCGATCAGGTTGAAAGGACCAGTCTTGTCGGAGATCGCATTGGGGACTGTTCGACCGAAGACCGAGGCCGCATTAAGAATCGGGATGACGTAGAATGATAAGCTCCGGTTGGTATAGCCATGGACTTCACCGTAGAAGGAGATATAGAACAACATGACATACAGACCGGTAAAGCCCGTGATCGCACCGAAGACGAACAGGAGATAGGGCCGATCCCTGAAGGCGGTGGTGTCAATCAAGGCTCTGGCTTTGGGAGGCCTGATGCGCTGTCTCATCACCAGGTTGGGGACGAGTAAGGTGGCTAGAGTGATAAACCCAATGACTCGAGTAGACCAGCCAAAGCCAATCCGGTCAATAAGTCGGTAAAAGACGATCGGATAGATGATACCACCCATCGAACTGCCTGCAGCAGCCAAACCCACGGCCAGACCGAGTCTCCTACGGAAATAGGTGGGGAGGAGGGCTATTGCTGGGATAAAGAGTAGTCCACCGCCGATTCCGATGCAGAATCCCTGGGCCAGCACAACTTCCCAATAGGCTTTGCATATACTGAGCATCATATAGCCAAAGATGATGAGGAAAGAGCCGACAGCGAGAAGGGTTCGGAGATATCCTGGTCAAATATCGGACCTGAGATGGCTCCGACAAAAAGGAGTAGGAAAGCTTGAATGGATCCAATCCATGCAATGTTTGAGGAAGACTGCGTGAACAATCGACCCCCTTCGTAGTATGTCTGGAAAACTGTTGGATGTAGTCAGCGAATGCACTTGGGTGGGAATCGGCCATGGATCGGTGCGCCGGCATGGGCGTAAAGTCACAGCTGGAAGAAAGTGAATTACTTACTCCCAAAAGTATTCAAATTGCCCCTTCGGATCATGATTAGCTTGGTTCTGCAACCCAAGTGCTGGATCGAGATGCAACATACCATGTGTTAAAGAACAGGGAGAATCCACCAGCGACTTGAAGCCAGGCCACAAGTCCACCATCTGGTACTTCAAACATTGGCGGCTTGACAGGAGCAGGCGGTGTCGCATCGTTCGGTGGCTCTTGTCCTGAAGACTGTTCAAGATCGCCAGAGATTCCAATTGGTGGCACTGTAACCTGATTGTCCGCATCGCCTGTCGGGCCGTTCTGGTCACGCCCAAGCTTTTCCTCAGTGCTTGTTTCTCTTCGAACTTGCGTCATATTTTGCGTTGCCACATTTTCAGCGTCGTGGTTATTGGATGAAGCTGGGCATTGATAGAAGAAAAACAATGAGTTCCAAGACTCAAAGGATCGCGCATTACACTTTACATCATACCTATACAAATAAACTTCTGAGAAACCGGGGAAGCAGTTAACCCCGAGAGTCTGCAATGTCCGACGTCCAGTGCCCAGGAATTTGCAAAGATTCTCGTCTGGTATTGGACCCGCTTTCTAGATAGACTACAAACCATTCTCCATACTACTACAGTACTTTGTTGAATGATATGACAGGGGTACTCCCTACCTTAACTAGTTAGCGTATCTCCCAAGCTGGCGGCGCACCCAATCGAAGGGCGTAGCTCCCATACAAGCCTCTACTAGTCCCCTACCCACAATTTCTCGTCAGAATTCTATGGGTTTTCCCCACCCCTCCCAAATTTTGGGACCCCGCCGAGCATTTTGCTAACAGAACCCTAAGCATTGACTTCCTATCTGTGGGAGGGGGTCTTGATAGATTAGGCATAGAATCTTCAAGAGGGTGAACACCAGCCTGAATTAACCCTGGAGGATAACTGAATAGGGCAGCCAACCGCCTAGAATATAGTGAGGTAGAGCCTGGTGACCACTGTCATACTTTTTGCTGTTGTATGTTTTTTTGATTGGGGTCTAGGTATACTCAAGGAGGATTGTAATGATATCCGGGAACCGTTGAGGGCCAGGTGACGGGGGCTGTACCCATTACCCTCGACCGTGTCCGTCACTAGGAAGGTTCTTTTGGCAGAAAAACCAAGGACCGGATGGAAATACACGTCTCTATTTTCTTTGCAATTTTAGCGCCTAAAAAAATGATCATAGATGGCAGCAGATATTCTGCGTGGTTTTTCAACTCGGTTTAGCTTTCTGATAAGAGTAAAAGTCACACTGCGGATTTAACTGCAGAACAGCAACGGCAATCGATCCCAACGAACTGCCGAGAGTTAGGAAGGTTCAAACTTTCTAGCGAATACAGGAATGGCTCTTTTCGTGGAAACGCCGGCTAAATGTGAATCACCCCGCAAATCCTGCAGAACCTGCATATCTCAGGAAGCTTCTTCAGAAGCGCGGGGTTGAAAAATGCATGTGCAGAACTTTACCCATGCGGGCCAGCGGGCCGTAAGCCGCTAGTATAGGTAAAATTCATGTATTCAAGTAGAAACTATAGTATTGTGCGGACTCTTGAATGATGGTTCTCCACTAGTTTGTTTAAGTCCAGTGTTAGTATAGCCTCTAATTGTGCGAATGATCTAAAGTAAGACAAAAATTGTCTGTTACAGTGTAGATTGAAAGATAAAGTACTCTTCTGTCCGCATTCCTTACCTAGCTTGCAACATGTTGAAGATTTAGGTACTCGCTATCCTCTGTCTCTTTCACACATCCACCAAGTTAACTTCTCTCCTCACCCTCCTAGTTAAATTGTGAAATGAAGCTCCAAATTTGGCCCGGAGTCCACGAAGCGCTTGCCCCGGCATCAGTCGCCAAGGGCTCATGCGGACCATCAAAGGCAATCCACCATACCGGATGACCGGCCGAGCACCCAGAATACACGGTTTTGATATGGGTTCCACTTCCCGCTGCGGGCTCCCGGGGGCTCTGCGGGCTGCAGTGGTTATCATTCACAAAAGTGTCTCGAATCTGGCGGCCCAGGGAGATGGAAAGAACCGAGTCCGAGACACCATGCTGGGCATAGTATGCCACCGGCTGTGTACCGGGGCTGCACCCACTGAGGTTTGCTCCGGACATGACGGCAACCCCGCGGAAGACGTTTGGACGAGCGCAGGCGAGCGCGTAAGACATAGACCCGCCGTAGCTCCACCCCATCGAATAGATCTGATTTTCATCGATGCAAAGGTTCGTCTTGAGAGTTGCCAGCATCTGGTCGTTGAAGGTGATGTCGGCCCCCCCGCTATTGGCCCAGCCATTGTTCAACCCCTGCGGGGCGACAAAAATGGCGGCGCCGTTGGCTAGCGGCTGCACCCCGTAGTACGATCCTCCTACGACATCTTGCATCGTCCCGCTCAGCCAGTGGTAACCGAAGATGAGCTTATAGGGTCGGTTGCGGTCATAGTTGGGCGGCAGTGTCAGGATGTACTGGCGCTGGACGCCGTTCACGGTGGTCGTGTACGTTCCGCTGCTCAGCGTCGGAGACTTGCCGCATCCCTGGGAGAGGCCTGTCGAGGCAGCCGAGGAACTGGTTGTAGTGGACGTAGTTGTGGTGGTTACCAGAGTCGTGGTGGTGGTGCTTGGCATGCAGTTCCCTGGCAAACACTGGGAATAATAAGGATTTTGATAGCTGCAGCATGCACCGGTTGCACACTGGGTAGGGCCACTCCAGCCAATGCCACCGCCTTTAACAGCCGGCATATCAGCAGTAGATCCATAATCGGTCCGAGTACGGGATCTCTGACTTACATTGGCCATAGACGGACTGCTGGCCCAGGACAGGGAGAGCCAATGTGAGGAGCATACCTCCCATCATGTTTACGGCAGGCTTCATTGTGGTAGAGTAAAATGCCCAACTTAGACGTAGATAAACGAAACGATGTTAGATGTTGACAAGACTTAGGTAGTATGAGGCAAGATCAGTGAGTTATTCCATCCTTCCCAACAAGAGCTGAGAGTATTTATACCTCTTTCAATCAGAATGGCTGCTACCCAGTAGGTCATGAACTCGGCGATGAAAGGACAAGATCCAAAACGAGACTCGCTTTCCCTGCATCATGACGATGGCTGAATGGCTGAATGGCTGCTCTAGTGAGGGGGAGCGAGATATTCCTGTCTCAATTTTATCCAGAATCGAAGAACACGAATGCAGAGATACGTTTTGAGACATAGTCGACGAAATGGAGCGGAGGAGGTGAGACAAACAGTAGATCTTTTGAACGTCACCTGAATAAATCATTACAGGGATCAGTGCCACCTCCACCTGCTCGGCAATGGGATCACAAAGAGAAATGCCGTGGTCTATATGTGCAGAGTATACACTTTGGGCCTGACAATTGTACGGACCTATAGCGTTGACTTCCCGCTCGGGATTTTTCCTGATCAAACATGATCCTTCCGGGAAGTGCCCCGTAGGGCTAGTCATTTCAGTCGCCCTATCTAGTCACGGAAGGTGAAGGCCGAGTTTCATGTTAAGACCCCCAGACTTCGGCGCGAGAAAGGAAGCTGAAGGCATGGCTAAGCTTTGACATCTCCCGAGATTTCAATATGGCATATAGATCGTATATTCCAAAAGGGCCCACATGGAAAATCAGGTTTAAATGAAACCTGGGAATTTCGTGGGATAGGTAAGGATTTCTAGGACCGTGATGATCTATCTTCCCTAGTATCATTCGTTGAAAAGAAGGGATTGAGTCGATCGACAGTCAAAGTCATTTTCACCTGGCCTCTTTATCATTAATTTGGCTAAATGACAGTTGTCAGCCACACTGCGGTCAGACTGTGTGAAGGTATTTATACGGAGTACCGGTTTGAATCTTGCAATTCTCTATCAAGATAAATTCTGAAAATTAGCCTAAGAGCTCATTTATCCTCCCCCTAGCGCTATGACAGTACTCAACATAAATACACACCAAGAGGGATTCTTACTTTCATTTCATGTACTAGCTTACCAAGGGATCGATCTTTTCAGACTCAGTCTTCTCGTTACAAACTGATATCAAGATAAACATGGTCCAACTAGTGGCTGGATTGTTGCTCCTCCCTTTGGCCTTGGCCGCGTCCGTTGACCGCCGTCAGGCCTCGCCGAGTCTGAACACACTGATACAGAATGCCGGCAAGAAGTTCTGGGGCCAGTGTGCTGCTCAAGGCCGCTTGACGGAGAATTCCCAGAATCCGGCCATCTATAAAGCTGATTTTGGACAAGTGACGCCCGAAAACAGCATGAAATGGGATGCAACGGAGCGTATGTGGCTCTTTCACCCCTTTTGCATATTCTGACAAACAATGCTGACAACGATTCAGCTAGCCAGGGCAGATTTGATTTCTCTGGGGCAGACTGGTTGGTTAACTGGGCTGTGCAAAACGGGAAGATGATAAGAGGTCATAACTTAGGTATCAAATTCCGCATTGCTCTGCTCACCATGATAGGTTCAGTGCTGATTTGAATCCGCTCCAGTCTGGCATGCCCAAATCCCCAACTGGGTCTGTCAAATTACTGACAAGACCGCACTCACTAATGCCATGACCAATCACATCAACACGGTCGTGAGTCGATACAAGGGCAAGATATATGCTTGGGTGAGTGCTCTCTGCTCTCAGCTTACTTCTGATCTAACCGGGTAATTCTCGCAGGACGTCTTGAATGAACCGTTCAATGAAGATGGCAGCTTGCGCCGGGATTGCTTCTACAACGTTATTGGCCCTGACTACGTCAAAATAGCCTTTCAGGCTGCCCGCGCGGCTGATCCAAATGCCAAACTCTATGTGAATGATTACAAGTTAGTATCTGGATGTTGCTCCTGTTATGGAGTGCCCTTTGAAGATCATGGCTCTTCTCTAATAATAAATATAGCCTCGACTCCGCCACCTACTCGAAGACTATAGGAGTTGTCAACCAGGTGAAGCAGTGGATCGCGCAGGGAGTCCCAATTGATGGCATTGGTAGGGCTCATCTCTGCTCCTCTTGATATGTTGATGTTCGGCTGATCATGGCACTGATTCTAGGATCCGAGTCACATCTGGGGTGAATAGATTCTCCATTACATCCCAAGCAAGAAGTAACGACTAATATCATTTTTACAGTGCGGGACAGGGCTCCGGTGTTGCAGCATAAGTTCTCCTTTCTTTAATTATTAGTACAGGCCTGCTGACATTTCTAAACTGCCCTTGCATTACTCGCTACGGCCGGGACTGAGGAGGTCGCCATTACTGAGTTGGATATCGCAGGAGCCTCCCCAAATGACTATGTAGCAGTGAGTTGACCTCTCCTCTCTTAGAGCACCTAAAGCCATCAACGAAGTATATCCTGACCCCTAGTTCCGTCTAGGTCGCGCGAGCCTGCTTGAATGTTCCAAAGTGTGTAGGCATCACCTCGTGGGGCGCGTCTGACCGGGTAAGTTTGCTTTCTGCTTTCCCTTCGCCGATGCAGGGATGCAAAAGCGATTAGTCGCTGGTAAAATTCCCTTTTCTAATTCTAGACACCGACTAGGATTCGTGGCGCTCCAGCGACACACCGGATCTCTTTGATAACAGTTACAATGCTAAGCCTGCCTACTACTCCGTGGCGAGTCTTCTCGGCAGCGTACACTCTACCACTTCGACCTCGACCGCCACCACTACAATCACCACTTCCACCACCACCACTTCCGCCCCCAGTTCTCCCACACAGACTCATTGGGGACAGTGTGGCGGGATAGGCTGGACGGGGCCAACCCAGTGCCAGTCTCCATACAGCTGCCAAGCACAGAATGCTTACTATTCCCAGTGCCTCTAAGGGTAAGATTGCAGAATCGCTGGAGGTATCTTTGCCAATGTCGGCGAGGGAACGATGTTGAGTGGCGAATTTCGCGCAAGGCCAACGGATTTCATTCCTAGGGGTTCTAACATAGTAACGTGTCACCAAGACAATTCTGGTATTGGACTGGAAGGTAAATTACTCTTGTGGCTTAGCCTGAAGCGCTATCTTAGTATGAATGACATTTCTCTTCTTTATGTCTTATAGCAATAGAAGATAGGCCCATATCTTTCCACATTACAAAGATATAATATGTACCACTTTAGGTAGCCTATATTCTTAGGGTAAAAATATTTTACAATCTCAGTATATGAACATGCTGCTCACTGGTTGGAAACTTTCTAGAAATGTCACAGAGCAAACGCAAGTATATTTCTAATACGAGCAAGGCCTTCAATAGAGTCTGAAAGACATCAATCATCAACCGAGATGCGCATTTGCAATCGAATGATCACTAGCTGCCAAGAAATGCAATGACCACCGAATTGGGTGCCATAGGTACGAATCAGCAAGTATATTTTCTTCATTTCTTCCGCCGCGGCTCCCCGCATCCGGAATAAGTCTTATGATGCATAAGCCATCCGGATAACCAGTTTAAGGCAGCTTATGTAGTCCCAAGAACTCCCGCTGGATGGTAGCCCTTGAAAACATGTATTGGGCATCTCCCCGGTGAGTTGTAAAGTTCTTTGGCTATGGCAATGGCTAATGCATCTCCAATTGAGAGTGCCACGGTCGTTGATGTTGTTGGAGCACAGACACCAAAGGAGGTCTGCTCACTCTCGTGGATAGGAGCGGGTAAGAGAACTGCCTTGTCATGGGGTCGAGATGACAAAATAGGACAGCTGGAGACGTCCATATGAGATGTAATTGCGATCACAGGTATTGTTGAAGGGATATGTGGAAGAAGCTGCAGAAGCTCCATGGTCCGGCCCGAGAAGGAGACGAACAACAAGGTATCGTTCTAGATGATCATCAACAGCTATGCCAACCGCTTCGTAGGGTATTCTTTGTTCCCTTATGTCACATTAAGGCCTGACTGACCACTTACCAGTCTGATGAGCCCTAGATCCCCATGCAACGCTTCTGTTGGGTGCAGAAATGCGCTGTGTATGCCCATACTAATCATTGTCGCTACCACCTTTTGTCCAATCTTCCCACTCTTGCCAACTCCACAGATAACCAGTTTGCCACCATTCTTGATGCTGTGGATAATCTCGGTTACTGCACGCGCCAGGTTCTGTTGTGCCCACTCGTTCGTCTTATAAATACGCTCCAGATTAGCGAGGGCTGCACGCTCCATAGAGATGACATGGACTGCAGTTGTAACCACTGAAGCATAATTTAATGAGTGCATTGATTGTGTCGGACCTGCAGGATGTGCCATTGCCTTCAAAAGTTTCGCTTTGCTCTGAAATAAGTGGTCCTGACAAGGACCGGAGTAGTCATGTTCGATTACGTTGAAGTGCTACTGCAAAATGCACCTCAACAATGCGACAATTTATCTACTTGGTCCGCGGGTCTGTTTTGATGGAGGACTGAGCTGACATCACTGCAGGTCATGTGGTAGTTAAAGATCCCAGACGGATCAGATAAATTTAGAGTTTTCGTTTTCGTTTTCGCACTCGCTTTCATAAGTATGTGCGTGATACCGTTACGAATTCAGAAATCACTAGAATTTCACACATACAAACGATAAATGAAGATCTGATTCTCCTCAATCTAGTATCTAACGAACGAATATTTATACTACCAGGATCGTAGCTTAGAGGCTAGAATAGGGGTATCTAGCTCACTGTTGCGGATAACGTGGTGGCAAGAAAGATATCTCTCTACTAGGCGGGTAAGGCGAAGTCTAAGTAAGGGAAGGTATTATATCAACATTATGTTGAAACTAGGTTTGCCAAGGCTGCTAAATGCCAACCAGCTAGGGCCAGATCCATGTTTCATACGGCCTTGCTTGGATCAGAATGAGAAGAACGTTGGTTTGGAATCACTCTATCAAGCAAGAGGGAGATCTATCGATTTCATTTAATATGCTACCTGGTGCCAATTGCTAGATGGGTGCTTTGCTTGAAGCGCATATGAATGACGTTGTATAACTGCCTAAGGAATCGATAAGTGAAAGTAAAAGAATACATATAAAGTTAGCCATTGAAAGTGTCTATATATGACAACTGATAGCGACCTTAATGTCTTCAAAGGGGATTTGACTTATTAGGAAGTACTTGGTAAAGTCCATCAGTGTTAACAAGATTCACTGGTTGCTGCAGGAGAAGCTTTGCACTAAAAAGTCCCACCGTCAAATAAGTTGAAATCCCATGTTTATCCTGCAATTGTCTTCAATTGCTCTCCTGTCGTCTACTATTGCTCGTTCAATGCAATAACTCACCTCGCATAGCACTTAGGACTTCTCCGCATCCTTTACAGTTTCAATATGACGGTCGAGGACCCTTTGATCTCTCACCATACAAAACCAAGGTCAAGATACATCCGACCAACACAGCACAGACGAAGAGAGATATTATTATTCTCGGTAGAATAAACTAATCAATCTCTTTCTGAACTGCGCTCATGAAGAGCAGATGCAGGTAGATAATTTCACAGAGAATGGAGGCTCACTTAAACTAGCAGTTCAGGCCTGCTTCTTGATTAATTTCTATGTATTCGTCATTCAACTATATGATGCCATCTCCACTGGTTCCTCGTCATTCTTTATAATAACTGTGGACTCGTTCATGATCTTATCTTATCCATCATCATGCTTATCACATCATGCATGTCAAACCAGCCGAAACCTTACTGGTATCCAGTTGAGCACAAGCAAATATAGACTATGGAGGGCATCATATTCTATGCTTTAATAACAACAGTAGCAGTGGAGCTGGTTATTAAGTCAGCCAAGTGATCTATCTTTTATTTTTTTTACTTTTTTTTCCTTTTTACCTTCTTAAATCTTTTCCCCTTTCCAAAGCTGTGACTCTCAAATAGCTGATGCTTGTCCTTTTTCTCTTGTATCTCTCATCAGGCATTCTGTCCACTGAGCCATCTACTGTACCCCAGCAACGAAGCAACACCTGATCAAGTAATAGCCTCAACCTTCGTACCATGTTGGCTTTGGGATTTAATCACTATAATGTCAAGAAATAATTTGGACAAATATATCTATGTTGGAATTCCAGGTCCAGTGCGAGCGGGATGTGACCAGGTGAGTCCACTCCAGACAACAACAATCTTACTTAAGAAATAACTGTAGACATTATCTGAGTTTTCCTTGCTGCTCTGTTCTTGCAACTATCCGGATACCCCGATACAGTATGCATATCCGGCCCATAGCCCAGAGCAATCCCCGTTCAGCGCCGGATTCCACTGATAAAGCTGGTCAAGCGTGATTCCTGCACTCACAGCCATATCATAGCAGTAAACCCCTGGAAAAATCAGTAAATCATGAATAACCTGCAATAAAAAGCGATGGTAATGATATTTCTTACCGTCTTTCTGCATAACCCACTTATTGCAGGTGGCCGGAATTCCCGATTGGGTTGGACCGGGAGGAGGGACCGAAGTGGGCGTTGGAGTGGGCGAGACAGAAGTATGGGTGGGACCTGAATCGCCTTTGACGCAGTAGCTATCGACAGATGTCAGTGTAGCTACAAAAATGGCACAGGGTTGCCTTACGCTTCGCCTAGGAGGAGGTTCGTGCAGTCGGCATTGACCTGGGGGTTCCAGGTCCGTAGTTGCGAAAAGGAAATGCCATAGACGGCTTCAAGAGTGGAGCATTGATCGCCATTGGCCACCACATGCCTACAATATTTAGATCTCTAAATAGCTTTGTTGGAAGGATAGGAAGGGCTTACCATAAGTAACAATACTGCGTAGTTCCTGTCGGTGTGGCGGTGGGAGGTGTCACATAGGTAGAAGTAGTGGTGGTGTTTGCATTTGGTGCGGTGGAATTCCAGTCCTGCATAGGGAAGACACAGTAGTAAACGCCTGGGGGAAGAGATGAGCAATCCTGACCGATGGAGGGATTGATCGCCATAAAAAGCTGTGTGGTAATGGAGTACTGTAGGGAGATCTGCTCGCAGGTATCGCCTGCCACCACCTTGTGGTACTTGCCGCATTCTGTTGTGGTGCCGCTGGCAGTAGGACCGTCTGGGGCCACCGTTGAGGTGGCATACTGGTTAGTCTTGGTGCCCGTGACCCCGGCGATGGTGGTGGGGGTATACTGTGCTCCTG